AGAGAAAATGGGTGTTTTTTTGAGATATCACACATATTTTTAGCATTAACCAGTGCTTAGAAAAAAGTGATTGAAAAATGATGAAAAATCAGCTTAGGAGCTGTGCTTTTGTATTGTTTGTTACCAAATTCTTTCGTGTGAATAAATGTATTTCTATAAGCTACAGTATCCCTATCTATAAAAGATAACGTTCTTCTACTATAATAGAAAGGCTACGGTATCCTATAGCTATTATCTAGAATTCTTAGATTATCTACTAAATTAGTATTTAGCTTGATTAACTTTAGACTTTTATTGATGCTATTGAGGTCTAGATCAGGTGTGAGAATCGCTAAAATGAGAGCAAAAATCAGCATCTTTCCCGGCAAAACTATGCAAATCGGATCATTTCCGAGATATCGATGTCATAAATTTGCATCATAATCTCTTTGAGATCTCCAAATGTACTTGGTGTATTTTGCCGTATCGGTATCGTTAAAATTGCTCACTGCAAAGGTTTCTTGCCTGGATCCTGGATTCGATGATGGAATGAAAATTGAAAAAAATCGAACAATTCAAAGAAAATGTTTTTCTGGAAGATAGGAAAGCCTTTTGTACCGATTTCGGAAAAAAAATGGAATCGATTTTGACCCGCGATTTTTCCATATTTTTCCGAGCTTTAGAACAATTGCAGTTTGCAGATTTGGAAAGTTTCCCAACTCTGCAATGGCTCTAACCCTTAACCCGAATGCTGCCGTTAAGAACTGCAAGAAGCGACAGGCAGTAAAACAGATAATGCAGAGAAAAAGCTTAGAAAGGAATGACCGTGAGATTTCGGCACAAAAATAATATTTGGTGCATTTGGCTAGGTTAGGTTTATTGTTAGCAATTTGAAAGCAGGTGAAGTAACGAAGTGGGCGTGATGGAGCGAAAGGCCTCGATACACCATATCCGAATTGCTGACGGGCATTGTTCACTTTGAGGTCAACGATTGCTGGCAAAATCTCGGCGTTAGAAGGACCAGGGAAGTTGCGGGACGGAGCGTAGGCGGCTGCTTCGCCCTGTTGACGAAAGGCCTGCTACGGCTGTTCGAAGCGGCGTTTGCGTGGAGGTTCTTCCTTGATCATTTGCGAGGCCAAAAGCAGTAGTTGGGCAGTAGTAGTGCGCCGTTATGCACCAGCATTTTCATCCTCTCCGCCGCATCGGCTATCTCGAAAGCTCATGGGTTCGTCTCCACAAAAAGTGTGTTCCTCTCACTGGTCGCCTTCAACGTCTGAGCCAACGACGTCTCGGATTCATTCTCAATCAGCGCTGATTGTTAAATTCGAATTGAGAGCCCTTCTTTGTCGGAGGCGGTAACGTCGACTTTGGCTTGAGCCTAGCGGTGATTTTCTTCGTCAAATGCTCCTCGAACGCCTTGAGTGCTTGCCCGTTTTTCTCCGTCAACCCGTTATTGCTCATACCTGAAAAAAGAAATAGAGCAAAGAACTAAAACTATTAACTGACAAAGAAAAGAAAAAAGAAAATCAACACTTACTAATCATTAAAAATAAAAACTTGCTACAATTAAATCAGAAAGAATTTTGCAGAATGAATAAATGAACGAAATTTCTCCTTTTTAAACCACAAACTACAGTACTTCGACGTAAAAAGGCGCAAAATAAAATACAGTTTTGTGTCAGTAAAAAAATGCACAAAATTATAGTTTTCGAGAAAAATGTTTTGAATTTTCGGTAGTGAATCGAAAACGTGGCACCCTTCTATAAAAGGACTTCTTTTGGGCAGACGAAATGTTTCCTCGTGCTGATAGGGTCCTCGTGCTGGTAGCTGGTAGAGCTCTCGCCTCCGATTTTTGCGACCCTAGTTCGGTCCCGGTCAACTCCATTTTTTTCCAAACTTCTATTTTATATTTTTTAAGGGTATAAAACTTTTATTATTAACTTTTAACGTCATTATACTAATTATAATTATATTATACGTCGATCCATTCCGGTCAATTTGATACTCCCCTTGAGAAATTGTAAGAAATCGTATTTCTGTTTGTGATATTGTCTCATGTTTTGCGCAAATTGCAAAAAAAATCTGCTTTAATCATTTTGAAAAGGAATTTCGTCTTTGTTAATTGATATTTGTGATTGGTTTACTGTGTTAGCTTCTAGATTTATAGATAAAATTGTTGAGCACTAAACTAAACTAAAACTAAACTAAAATTAAAATAAAATGGAATAAAAACTAAAGTTTAAGAGTTCTATAACCCTTGAATATATAAAGTTTTGAAAAAAAGGCGCTAAATGGAACCAGGGTCGCAAAAATGGGAGCTGACCTGACTGAGCTGGTGGTCAGCTGACCGAGTACTCCGCCAGCTGACCACCAGCTGACCACCAGCTAACCGAGTACTCCACCAGCTGACCACCAGCTGACCACCAGCTAACCGAGTACTCCAGCAGCTGACCACCAGCTGACCGAGGACTCCACCAGCTGACCACCAGCTGACCACCAGCTAACCGAGTACTCCACCAGCTGACCACCAGCTGACCACCAGCTAACCGAGTACTCCACCAGCTGACCACCAGCTAACCGAGTACTCCACCAGCTGACCACGAGCTAACCGAGTACTCCACCAGCTGACCACCAGCTAACCGAGTACTCCACCAGCTGACCACGAGCTAACCGAGTACTCCACCAGCTGACCACCAGCTAACCGAGTACTCCACCAGCTGACCACCAGCTAACCGAGTACTCCACCAGCTGACCACCAGCTAACCGAGTACCCACCAGCGACCACCAGCCAACCGAGTACTCCACCAGCTGACCACCAGCTAACCGAGTACTCCACCAGCTGACCACGAGCTAACCGAGTACTCCACCAGCTGACCACCAGCTAACCGAGTACTCCACCAGCTGACCACGAGCTAACCGAGTACTCCACCAGCTGACCACCAGCTAACCGAGTACTCCACCAGCTGACCACCAGCTAACCGAGTACTCCACCAGCTGACCACCAGCTAACCGAGTACTCCACCAGCTGACCACGAGCTAACCGAGTACTCCACCAGCTGACCACCAGCTGACCACCAGCTGACTGAGCCCTCCATCAGCTGACCACGAGGAGACATTTCTTCTGCCCGGAACAAGTCCTTTTATAAAAGCGTGCCTCGTTTTCGAGTAAACACCGAAATTTCAAAGCATTTTTCTCAAAAACTAGCGATCCTTAGCAAAATCTGAAAGCACCATCATACTCGCCGTATTCAATCAGTATTATTCTCATTTTAGTGCCGAAATCTCACTTCTGACCATTCTCTTGCTAGACCTAAAGATAGACTTGCTAGATATAGACTAAGCGTGTTTTCTTTTAGCTGCAGTACGTTTTATCGTTAGACTCAACTAGGTGTTTCCCCAATTACAAAGTTCTGATTCTGATAAAGTTCCCCAATTAGTTGGTATCGTAAACAAAATGAGATAGCTTAAACGATAGTCGAGTATGCTTTAGAATCGCAGAAACTCTATAACCTTCCTTTTGAGCTGTTTGAACTACGGTATCTTATCCTTTTTTCTCATCCCTACCGTAGTCAAAGGAACCGACAGGATCTTTGAAAAAAAAAGGATTTCGATTCTTGAAAATGGGATCATCCGAGAATCATAAATCCTTTCATTCGAATCGACCAAGTAGAAAGCAGAAAAGAGAGATTTGAAAAGAACGGGTTTTATTCAGAAAAAAATCCTTTGTAAAGATCTGAAGCTTTTTTCGAATTCAAAATATAGGGACTAATGTTTTAAATGAAAGATGAATATTATTTAGCACGATGAGACCATAGAGGCCAAAAGAATTGACAAATTGCAACGATGCCAGATACAGTAACCCTCCGAGTGTTACAAAATCGATTCTCAGCTCAGAAAAGGCTAAGGACAGGGTCTTGATCTGGTCTTGCTTGCTAAAGGAACCCAGGTACAATGTTAGAACCAGGTGTGGACCTGGTTTTCGTAGCTGAGAGTCTGCTGGAACCCCTTCCGATTCGAAACTACAGTACCCCGGTCCGATTTACACAGTCTGGACCTGAGCATGGACCTGCTGATATAGCTTCTAGGTCTTAGAACAGGCTAGACACATCCTTGATCCAGATTACAGTACCATTCAGCAGCTACTACACAACAGTTACAGTCAACCACAGACCAACTAGTCACCCAACAAGCCAAGCCAGTATTTAAAGCCAACCAAACACCAAAACTAAATGTTAAAGGAAAGAAAAGGAAAGGTTAGTAGGTTTTTGGCCGGGCTAGATCTACAGTACTGTAGTTCTAGATCCTAGGACTGTCTAAAACCAGGGCAAGACCAGGGCAAGACCAGGTCAAGATCAGGTCAAGATTAGGGCCAAGATCAGGGCAAGACCAGGTCAAGACCAGGTCAAGACCAGTTCAAGACCAGGGCAAGACCAGGTCAAGGTCAGGTCTAGACTACAATACCCTAATGTTCTCCGTTATCAATGTTGCTTCTGTGGGATTATTCAAATAGACTACGGTAAAGGTATCTTTTAGAAAACATGACTAAAAAGGTATCAAATCATTTCAAATTCATTTCTAAAAGTGACGTGATTTCCCCACATTTTTTTTGCATCGATCTCATGACGTTTTTGAGCAAAGACGAAACACCATTCACACACAAAAAGACAGACACAAAAGAAATGAAATCCCTCTCCATCCCCGATCACATCACTTTTCCCACGTTTTTCTCTTTGTATCATTGCTCAAAAGATCATTGCTTTGTGTAAATCTCAAAAGACTCTTGCTGTAGATCGTATTCGATTTATGCTGGGAGTTCGAATGTCATTGGGAATTCGAAAAGTGATGTCAGTTTAAAATTTCGCTTTCAAATTGACCTTTAGCTTTGGTAGCTTTCTAGCTTTGTTTTGCTTTTTTTGATTTCAACTTTTATATATCAAAAATGAATAAAAAAGGGTTAATAATTGTAGATTGATAAATAAGAAAAGAAAAGAAAATGAATTCGATAACTAGAATGCCATTCACCGACCACCGTACTCCTTTGGACGTGCGATTTGAATCTCCCGAATTGTCGCCTGCGCCATTGCGCCCAAAAGAACCTAGAAAATTGCTTTTTTAGTCAAAATAATATTTATAGTTTTAAATTCATAATTCTTCTACGTTCTTCATAATTCTAAAACGGGAAAAACTATTTTTAAAGCTATCGTAAGTATTAGTAAGTATTAGTAAGTAAAAGTACAAGTAAAAGTACAAGTACAAGTAAAAGTACAAGTAAAAGTACAAGTACAAGTACAAGTACAAGTACAAGTAAAAGTACAAGTAAGAGTACAAGTAAAAGTACAAATACAAGTACAAATACAAGTACAAATACAAGTACAAATACAAGTACAAATGCAAGTACAAATGCAAGTACAAATGCAAGTACAAATGCAAGTACAAATGCAAGTACAAATGCAAGTACAAATGCAAGTACAATGCAAGTACAAAGTACAAATGCAAGTACAAGTGCAAGTACAAATACAAGTACAAGTACAAGTACAAGTACAAGTACAAGTACAAGTAAAATGCAAGTACAAATGCAAGTACAAATGCAAGTACAAATACAAGTACAATAAGTACAAAGTACAAATGCAAGTACAAATACAAGTACAAATGCAAGTACAAATACAAGTACAAATGCAAGTACAAATGCAAGTACAAATACAAGTACAAATACAAGTACAAATACAAGTACAAATACAAGTACAAATACAAGTACAAATACAAGTACAAATACAAGTACAAATGCAAGTACAAATGCAAGTACAAATGCAAGTACAAATGCAAGTACAAATGCAAGTACAAATGCAAGTACAAATGCAAGTACAAATACAAGTAAGTACAAGTTCTAAACAATTCAACCAACCTCTGGACATGAAACAAACGCGAAATTCTTATTTTTGTGCAATTGACACAAATCAGTCACCTAAAGCTTTCAATTTTTTTAAAGATAAATTCAAAATTGTATTCTTTATTGATCAAAGTTAGTACCAAAAAAGAATTACAATAGAGAATCTTTTGTACTTTTATTTTCCACGAAAAGTAAAGACTAAAAGTAGTCTAGAAGTAGCCTAGAAGTCGTAAAGTCTTCTTTTATTGTTAAATTTTTCAACCTTATCTTTGAGATCTTGATTCTGTGTCACCCAAATAGTGAAAACGTTTGAGGGATTCGACGAAGAAAGACATTCGGATAACATTGGGAGATCCGTTTCCGAGTCACCGCACACCAAAATGTTCCCTTCCTTAAAAATAAATGCTTTAGAATACATTCAGAAACAATTTTCAAATGAAATCAAATCAGATCAAAATTAACTTTTAAATGAAATTAAAGCTAACTTTCTAATCAAATCAAATCAAAGTTAACTTTCCGATCAAATCAAATCAAAGCTAACTTTCACATGAAATCAAACCAAAGCTAACTTTCTAATCAAATCAAATGAAAGCTAACTTTCTAATCAAACCAAATTAAAGTCGACTTTCAAATCAAATGAAATCAAAGCTAACTTTTAAATAAATTAAAGCTAACTTTCTAATCAAATCAAATGAAAGCTAACTTTCTAATCAAACCAAACCAACGCTAACTTTCACATGAAATCAAACCAAAGCTAACTTTCCAATCAAATCAAATGAAAGCTAACTTTCTAATCAAATCAAACCAAAGCTAACTTTCACATGAAATCAAACCAAAGCTAACTTTCCAATCAAATCAAATGAAAGCTAACTTTTAAATGAAATTAAAGCTAACTTTCTAATCAAATCAAATCAAAGTTAACTTTCTAATCAAACCAAATTATAGTCAACTTTCTAATCAAACCAAATTATAGTCAACTTTCTAATCAAATCAAACCAAAGCTAACTTTCTAATCAAATCAAATTATAGTCAACTTTCTAATCAAATCAAATCAAAACTAACTTTCAAATCACAATGCATCGTGGAGCACAACAGTCGAATCCCATCCCCTTTATTAAACGTTTTTCCGTCAAGATTGTCCTAAAAGAAAGTTAAATAATATTTTCTTTTAATTACCCAACTTTCGAAATGTTCATGTTTCTTGGATCGAACGTCGCTGGAACTCGAACCCAGCGATCGTCCACTTACCAGCCAACTGTGCCAACCATTACACCACAATGTACTTGAGCCAAGATTTCGTGACTTTCAGTCTAACGGCCCGACCTCCTCGAGGCTGCCCACAATCAATTTCCGACCAAAGAATTCTATTTTTTAAAGATTACAGGCTACAAAACTGTTTAAACAGTTTTTTGAAAAAAATTCAAAGGGCTCGAGATTTTTGGATTTTAGTGCAAAAATTTTGGGGGTATAGTGGGATAGATGTTGTGGGGGTATAATGGGAATGATGCTGTGGGGTATAGTGGGAATGTTGCTGTGGGGGTGTAGTGGGATAGATGTTGTGGGGGTATAATGGGAATGATGCTGTGGGGTATAGTGGGAATGTTGCTGTGGGGGTGTAGTGGGATAGATGTTGTGGGGGTATAATGGGAATGATGCTGTGGGGTATAGTGGGAATGTTGCTGTGGGGGTGTAGTGGGATAGATGTTGTGGGGGTATAATGGGAATGATGCTGTGGGGTATAGTGGGAATGTTGCTGTGGGGGTGTAGTGGGATAGATGTTGTGGGGGTATAATGGGAATGATGCTGCGGGGGTATAGTGGGATAGATGTTGTGGGGGTATAATGGGATTGTTGATGTGGGGGTATAGTGGGGAAGTACCCAATATTCTACTTAGAATCAAATTGCACATTTAAAAACCAACTTTCAAATAAATCTTCAAGTCCAACTCGGTCTCTTTCATAGACAAAATCGACCCATCCGTGTCCACCGAGTGCACGATTTTTGAGACCTAAAATGGGAGCTGAATCCTTCTCTCTTTCTTCCTTTCTTCCTTCCTTTCTTCCTACCTTTCTTCTTTCCTTCTTCCCCTTGTCTTTCCTTCTTTCTCTTGTCAAGTTAAGGTGCTAGATAGCTCAGTGGTTAGAGAAAAAGGAAAGCAAAAGGTCTAGGGTTCAATCCCCTTCCGGAAATCTACAAAAATCTACAATTCCTTCAATTCTTTATTCCAATTAATCCATATTATCGTCAAAAACTGATCAACAACGAATCAATGAACTAACCTGCTCGTATAGCCTCTTTGATAATGTCTCATTCACTGATTTGTACACATCTTGCAACGCGATCGTTATGTGACCACAGTGCTTCTGAAATAAAAGATTTCATTGTTTACAATTGGATCTAAGTTTTGTTATATTAAGTTAAGGAGTATGAAAAGAAAAATGCCGGTGTCTTTAGAGGAAATTTTTAAAAAAAAAAAAAAAAAAACTAAACTATAACTTTTTCTAATAACAATTGAAACTTTTGTTGATTAAAAAAAAAAAAAAATACCGACTGGGGCTACCAGTGGTGAATTTATCGCATACACGAAATATATCAATCACAATACAACGACACACACAATACTAGGCTATATCTTAACTTAACCCACGTCATGACAGACGGCTCCCTAACCCTAAGCTCAATGGGGAACTAAATAGCTTTTTTGGTGGTGAAGGGAAGATGACGATGAAGGAGTGGCTTGTCACTTTAAAGAACTGGGGCCACAACCACCAGACTGCCCTCCAGAAAACCTCTCAACCCGAAGGGAAAGGAAATCCGAAGGGGGTGACCATGTCGCATGTGGGGTTCGAACCCTCGACCTTCCGATTAAGATAAAATACCGCTATTATACCGCTAAAATTTGAAATCAATTTGATGCAAAATCTTTGTGAAATGGGAATAGATGTGCTAAAAGGTCGATTTTTGTCGAATTTCCTCTTAAAATCAAGAATTTGATTTCAAGTTGCAATCATTTTTTAGATTCATAAACCCTTAAAAATCCAATAAAAACTTGTTACTTTTCGTCACTATTCCCAGGATTCAGATACGTTTTTTTTCAATTTAATCTTTCAATTCAATTCAATCCAATCTTTCAATCTTTCAATTCAATCTTTCTATTTAATCTTTCAATTTAATCTTTCTATTTAATCTTTCTATTTAATCTTTCAATTTAATCTTTCTATTTAATCTTTCAACTTAATCTTTCTATTTAATCTTTCTATTTAATCTTTCTATTCAATCTTTCTATTTAATCTTTCTATTTAATGTTTCTATTTAATGTTTCTATTTAATCTTTCAATTTAATCTTTCTATTTAATCTTTCAATTTAATCTTTCTATTTAATCTTTCAATTTAATCTTTCTATTTAATCTTTCAATTTAATCTTTCTATTTAATCTTTCAATTTAATCTTTCTATTTAATCTTTCAATTTAATCTTTCTATTTAATCTTTCTATTTAATCTTTCTATTTAATCTTTCTATTTAATCTTTCTATTTAATCTTTCTATTTAATCTTTCAATTTAATCTTTCTATTTAATCTTTCTATTTAATCTTTCTATTTAATCTTTCTATTTAATCTTTCTATTTAATCTTTCTATCAAATTCATTTCCCGTTAGAGCCGCTAGATTATGGAACTTGCTCCCAAACGACATACGAGAAATTCAGTCGCTTTTCATATTCAAGAAATGTATCGATGCTTTAGATCTAGTGGCTCTTTGCCGTAAGTAATTGGCTTATTGATTTCAGTATGTATTGTATGATTAAGTATCAATGTGCATTTCTCTATGATTTCTTTCACTTTATCGTTTGAATAAAGTATTATTATTTAATCTTTCAATTTAATCTTTCAATTTAATCTTTCAATTTAATCTTTCTATTTAATGTTTCTATTTAATCTTTCAATTTAATCTTTCAATTTAATCTTTCTATTTAATCTTTCAATTTAATCTTTCTATTTAATCTTTCTATTTAATCTTTCTATTTAATCTTTCAATTCAATTCAATTCAATCTTTAACTTTTATTATCGAACTTACTGCTAGGAACGAAGACCTCGATTCTAGTCGAGGATTTATCGGGCTGTCGGTTTGTCTGGGCATTAGAGATGGCAGGATATCAAAAGTGGATCCACTCTCTTTAACTTAACCCAAATTCTAGTCCATATCCGTTTACTCCTAGGAACGAACAACTCGATGCTAGTCGAGGATTTTTCTTGCAAAAATCGTCACGTAAAGTGGTGGTCAAAAATCGACCATTTGCAACAATGGAAACCAGCAATGATTTCCACCAATTGAAAGCTCAAATTCGGAAATGAATTTGTCGCAAACGTGCTAAAATCTGAGCTCACCTGCAACCCGGAACCGACCCAGGTGAAAGGTCGAAATTCGGTCTCTTCAAGAATCCGAGAGATTCCGTCGAAAACCTTGAAACGTTTGCGATTTTTTTAATGCTTATAATTCAGTATTTATGATGACTTCTTTTTGCTAGACTAGCTCCCAAACTCCAAGTTCAACTTAAGTGTTATAAAATATAAAATATTAAAGCCCATAACGTTGGCTAAATTAAAGCCCATAACGTTCTCTTAAAAGTTTCCCGATTGGAGATGAACAACTCATTTTACAAGCGTTTAAATTGAGCTAGTTGATCCCTCTCCATCAGACTACCATTTTTGATCATTTTCTTCATAAAAATATAGCCAAGAGCTATTTTATATAATATTTAAAAAAATTAGGGTTGAAATTGTCGCTTTTTGGGAGTTATGCTAACAAAAAGAAGTCGTAAATACTGAATTTTTTTTTTTTTATTCTTTTACTTTATCGAGCATTTCCAAATGTGTCTCCGGGATTGAAGTGTCTTTAAACTGGTTTCCCGGATCGATAAACCACTCGCGACCGGCTGACGCTCCATAGTAATAGTAGCTAAAGTTTATTCGATAAAATCTCTAAACTGCTTTTGCGTTTAGATCGGTGAAAACGTAGAGATTTGCATAGCAAAAAGTACATAGCAAAAAGTACATAGCAAAAAGTACATAGCAAAAAGTACATAGCAAAATCTCTACAGTTTTCACGGATTCAAAAACTCGACAGTTTTCTTTAAATTTCGATTTTCCCTACACACAAACCCTTCCGGAATCGTGCATACATCTAGAATGCCGATGTGAAACAATGGAGCCGTTGTCACAATGGCGCACGTTTGAGCGCAACGTCGAGCGAATTGAGACTTTAAAACAAATGAATGAGAAAATCCACGTTTACTCAAAAACATCTTCCTTTTTAAAACAGATCCCCCGTAATTTTGTCTTAATTTTTATCCAATCTCTCTTTCTCTCCAATCCTTTAGAATTAGACAGTGAATTGATTATTTGGCATAAATTTAGTTCCTTTTCTCTCTAAATTTCGTTCCTTATCTCTCTAAATTTGGTTCCTTATCTCTACATATTTGGTTCCTTATCTCTACAGATTTAGTTCCTTATCTCTCTAAATTTGGTTCCTTATCTCTCTAAATTTGGTTCCTTATCTCTACATATTTGGTTCCTTATCTCTACAGATTTAGTTCCTTATCTCTACATATTTGGTTCCTTATCTCTACAGATTTAGTTCCTTATCTCTCTAAATTTGGTTCCTTATCTCTACAGATTTAGTTCCTTATCTCTACATATTTGGTTCCTTATCTCTACAGATTTAGTTCCTTATCTCTCTAAATTTGGTTCCTTATCTCTCTAAATTTGTTCCCTTTTCTTTCTATTTCGGAGAATCTTCTGGGAAAATGAATTCAAGAAAAATTTAGGTAAGTAAATGAAATCGGTACCTGTATCACTCCGGAGTAGGCGGGTTGAATGGACGCAGCGTAGGAGCAAGAGTAGCTTTTTAGGGTTCCCTCACTAAAACCCAGCAAATAAAAAGGTTAGCTCTAGATTTTAGAGTAAATGAGTTAAATTTTTTCGTTAAACTTATTGGTAAATAGTGGATTCTGTAAGTTAAATTTGATCCATTCAATTCTAATTTTGAGTACTTCAAAAAAAGCAAAATGTACAAACAAAATGTACAGTAGTTTAAAAATCGTATTGAGCGTTTTGCTATGTACTTTTTGCTTCTTTTTGCTGTGCAACTAAATCTCGAAGTTTTCACCGATCTGTGAAGAAATAATGGAAATGATCGGCCTCGTAGAGCAAATCGACCGCTCGGGTGACTTCTTCGCGGAAAATCGATGCCGATTTTGGATGATAAGTGACAAGTGTCTAATAAAGAAACAATTGAATATGAAATCGATGATCTATTAGATTATCTACTTGCATTAGATATACAATTACAATTGTTATCAAGCAACTTTTCTAAAAAAAAGCGGCAAAAATCCATAGAATCTCTTAGAAAATTTTCGATTCTTTTCCTTGCTCGAATTTTGTTTAGCAAAGTTGTTTGAATTGGTCCACAATTGACACCATTGGATTCTCCATGAAATTCTGACTTGTTAATGTGTCATTTGGACATACCGCTAGTCATCAAAATCATTGAGAAATTCAACTCCAAAGTTGAGTCCAGAGTCACTGTGAGTTCAACTTTGGAGCTGAATTTCTCAATGATTTTGATGTCTAGCGGCATGTCGAAATGACACATTAACAAGTCAGAATTTCATGGAGAATCCAATGGTAGCATTTGTTAGACGATCCGAAGTCTTTAAGCATGATTTTCAAAGCATGAAATTGCAGTTTACCTAAAGAAAAAGTGCAATTTTGTGCTTTGACTTGAAAATCATACTTAAAAGAGTTTGGATTGCCTTACAAATGCCATTGTTAGATTCTCCATGGACTTTTGACTTGTTAATGTGTCATTTGGACAACCTGTTATTCATTAAAATCATTGAGAAATTCAGCTCCAAAGTTGGACTCACAGTGACTCTGTGAGTCCAACTTTGGAGCTCGATTTCTCGATGATTCGCGAAACTTTTGCCCCATCCAAATGGCACATTAACAAGTCAGAATTTTATAGAGAATTATCTATTAGCTTATCTTTAGATTATTTATTAGATTATCTATTAGATAATCGAGCAAATTCATAGATTCTCCCCAGCCAACCTCAACGAATCTCTCCACATTGTCCACCTCGTCACTTTGCACGTGCTGCAGAAACGATAAATCTTTCTCGAACTCGCACAACTCGTCCTGGATACCGAATTGGGCTAACTGAAAATGTTAGCTGCATTATTTCGATTTAAAATCTAATACTTATCCAAGTGAAAACTCAAAGAAAAACCTCCGACCAATTAAACTCCAATTAAACCGATTTCAATTAGTAAACTTAATGAAATAAATAGCGGCAATCGATTCACCGATCTCGAAAACCCCCGGGCATCAATTTACAGCTGAATATCTTCTTTTTATACAAAATAAATGGGAAAAGAAAAATCATGGTCAAGGTGCTCTTTGTGCGGCCGCGTAATCGCTCGCTTTCTGGCATACCCTTTTGGTATAAAGAGCTTTCCCTTTCGAATTCGATTGCTAATTCCCTTGCTTACTATCTTGGGGATTGATTAACGGACAAAACTGTTTCAATCTTTGATTTTTTGACTCTATTAATGGGATTCAAGACTGAACCGAGTAAACAAACCTCCGGTGAATCGGGTGACGATTTAAGGAGCAATTTCTTTGTGTTCGGCACACAGGATTGTTCAAGAGAATCCTGGAAATCGTTACTGTACAGATTACGGTAGAATTTTCGTTTTTTTAAAAGCTCAAAAACACTCAGCGCTAAAATCGGGGGTGGGACAAATGCGACCTTTTTTTTGCGCACCTGGACATTTGCGCACCTTTTTTTTGCTGGAAAAGGCCTTAGGAAAGGTCGTAGAGCTTCAAAAATTTTTCCCTATAAGGGAATCGTATGCGTAGATTCCGAATTTCGACAAATCACACCTCGCTGACACGTCAAATTTGGGCTAAAAGGCAAAAACTACGCAACTTAACGCTTTTCCGCAGTTTTTCCCTTTTAGCCCAAATTTGACGTGTCAGCGAGGTGTGATTTGTCGAAATTCGAAATCTACGCATACGATTCCCTTACACGAAAACATCGAAAACATTTTTGAAGCTCTACGACCTTTCCTAAGGTCTTTTCCAGCAAAAAAAGGTGCGCAAATGTCCAGGTGCGCAAAAAAAAGGTCGCATTTGTCCCACCCCCCCCTGAAATCTCACTTTAGCATTTTTCAGTGATATTGCGAAGTGTGACCGAACGGGAATTCCTTTAAGAACTCGATCGACGATTTGTCGCCGAATATTCCTCGTTCTCATCATTAATGAGAAGAAATCGTCAAGAGTTTCTAACTGGAAATTTTCTTTTTAAAGCTTTTTAAAGCTAATTGCATTTTAAAAAGGATTAGAGTCGAAAAAAAGCTTTATCAAATGCTCACGTGAGTCGGTCGAATCACTTGATGTGTCCAACTTGGGTCAAGAAAAGCGGCACTCCATCTAAAAGATATTCAGTTATATTCAGTTATATAATTAAATGCTAATTATTAGATTATTAAAGATTGGGGACGATGGTACGCGCCCCGCCCCTTTGCCATTAACAATCCAACTTTGCGCTCAAATAGCTCGGTGTTGGGCTATCCAATTGAAATAGTTTTTATATCAATCGACAGAGAAAGACTTGGCGCATCTAATGATATTAAAAAGATTTAAATTGGATAGCTCAACACCGAGATATTTGAGCGCAAAGTTGGATTGTTAATGGGAAAAGGGGCAAGGCGTGTATCGAATGTCTGATATCCCATTATTATTATTATATTAAATAGTTCTGTTCTAGAATACTAAAAATATAAATCTTGATACAAACTTTTCAATATCGTGCGCTTTGATGAACTCGGATAGCCGTTTCCCGTGAGCGGCTCGGCTTTCCGGTGACTCGATGGCCGCCTCATAGAATGTATCGGCGTATTTCTAAAATCTCAAAGTTTTTTTGTGTACTTTGTGCTCACTGCTAAACGCTCATCATTAAGCAAACACAATTCGGAATTTCTCTAGAGATCTTAAAGCTTTGAGTGCGCCAGAAAGGCCGCTTTACCAAGCCCATTGCGCACTTTATGCCTTAAGCTTCTCTGCCTCTCCACAGCCTCTCTGATCATTTTTTTAGAAGAAAATTGAAGATTCAAGTGTACCAAAAGCAGAAAAAGCAGAAATTCCAGATTCACCTCAACATCGTACAAATCGGAAACTCTCTTGTACGTTCTTTCTTTCTCTTCCTCTCCATATAAACCAGCCATCGTGAATTGGACTTCTGAGCCGGCACCCGATGATAGAATTATACCCGCTTTTGGATTCACCACCAACATCTCTTTGGCTACCTGGTAATTAAGATTTTTAAAATATTGAAAACCCTAGAGCTCTCACTAAATTCATCCCATCCTTTTTCGGGGTCACAATGCCGATGTCCATCGCTAGATAAGCAGCCACGAGTTGCTCTCGGGGAAGACCTGGAAAAGCAAAGCAAACCATTTCATTTCATTAACTGGAATATTGTTTAAGAGTATTATAATTTACTTTTTTTAGTTCCTGCAAAAAACAAAAAAAAATCCAGCCAACCGGATTCGAACCAGTGACCTAAGGATAGCTGCTCGCTCTACAGTCCTCCGCTCTACCAACTGAGCTATGGCTGGATGGGGAAAGGGTGGGAGGGGAGAGCATTTGAATGCGGTGCGGAAGATTGAAACTTTTTTTAGTTTATTGCACAAAGTACTGCTAAAGTCAAGAAATGAAAGTGTGGACTCTAGATTCAGAAATTTGCGCTACATGGTGTGCGTTTAGATTCTTGTGCACAAAGTACACTCAATCAACCAACCATCCGTCTCGAAGATCAACGCTTTCCACTCGGGTTTCTTCTCATCTTTAAATGCTTTATTTATCTCATCCGCTAACTCGATACATTCATCTTGATAAACTCGATAAGTGTCAACCGATCGACGATTTGTCACCGCTATCTGGAAATTATTTTTGAATTCGTTTACGGTAACAATTACAGGAATTACAGGAATTACAGGAATTACAGGAATTACAGGAATTACAGGAATTACAGGAATTACAGGAATTACAGGAATTACAGGAATTACAGGAATTACAGGAATTACAGGAATTACAGGAATTACAGGAATTACAGGAATTACAGGAATTACAGGAATTACAGGAATTACAGGAATTACAGGAATTACAGGAATTACAGGAATTACAGAAACAGAATTACAGAAACAGAATTACAGAAAATTACGGAATTACAGAAACAGAAAATTGCAGTAACAATTGCAGGTACAGTACAATTACAGTAACAATTACATTAACAATTACTCTAAATAAAAAGCGATTCACTTTACCAACCTGCCATAGTGTATCTTTCCCGATTCTTTGTGGATATTTCTCGAAATATCTTCGATACGCAATCAGTTTCTCTTTGATTCCCTTTGTATAATCGAAACGTTCAACTGAGAAGAAAAATCGGCAGTCAGAGGGAGGATTTTTGCCAAGAATCTAAGAAAAGGATATTGGAATTGATGAAATTGATAGTCCTACCTTTTCTCTGAACTTTTTCCTTAAAGTTTCCGTCTCGGGAAGGGGCACAAACTTGAGAAAATCATCGTTTTTGATTGATACCGGGAAAACGCCCAGCGAACAAGTCCAACCCTCGTGAACTACCTGGAAAAGGCGAAAGTTTGGCATCGTGCTTTAAAACGCTCTTTCCAAGTGGCCGATCAAGGCATGGTGATGGTCTAGTGGATAAGGCAGTACCCTCCCACCAACAGGATCATTTTTCGATCCCTGATCCAGCATTTTGTTTCTATTTTGAAGCCTTTTGAACCTTTTGAACTTCTATCGTTTTCCAGCTACTTGCATTATGGTTCTTTGTATTGCTTAGCTTTTTCTAGGTTCTTAGCTCTTTCTAGGTTCAATTTCTAGGTTCTCAGCTCTTTCTAGGTTCAATTAGTTACAGTAATCCCTATTTGGCGATGTTTGTTTTAATGCTTAGCCAGCAAAAAGTGTCAGAAATCCCAATTTGGCCTCTCTTCATACCGTAAAAATATCCATCATTTTATCGTATTCTGTGTGCACTCCTCTCAAATATTTCTCGATAACTTGAACGAATTTTGCGCGATCACGGTGCGTTTGGAAACCAACCTGGGAAATTGATTGTTAACGGTTTAAAAAAAGAAATAAAGAGAAATCGAAAGAAAGAAAGAAATCGAAAACCAAAAACTTTTGTAAATCGCAGCAATCCGCGAATCAATGGCAACCCGACAACGGAATATTTTGTGAAGAAAGTGTCCGGTGGTTGGAATGGAATGTGCAGAAAGAAACCGACCTAAAAATTGAGATCTAAAGTTTAAAATATATACCCGTAAATACTGTGTACTTTACTGTTGTTAGTCTGTTAAATAGTTGACTACCGTAAATACTGTAATAGTACCCCACCCCCATAATGACGGTGCGGTGCGTTGCGTAGTCTAGTTTTGAACTAGTTTTTCTCGACACTGGTTTATGCTATAATGTTCGTTTTGGTATCAAAAAATAGCCCTGAATTTCAGCTATTTTTTGATACCAAAACGAAGATTTTAGCTTCACCCAGTGTCGAGAAACCCTCGTTCAAAGCTCGACTACGCAACGCTCCGCACCGTCATTATGGGGGTGGGGTACTATTACAGTATTTACGGTAGTAATCTGTCTACTGTAATAGACCAAAAGCTACAGTAATACGATGGCTCTAAGTTTAAGAAATGAACTGCTACTACAAGTGATCTGATCAAAGTGCGCCAGAAAGGGAATGCTTTCACGTTTACAAAGTACACGCAAACTCACCTCCAAACTCTCGTCCATTCCCTGCATAATCAATCCGGTCAACATTAAATGATAATCGTGAATCCAAATGAAATCCTGTGCTCGACTATTTCTGACCGCATCAATCGCGAATTGATAATTCACACGCACATAAGCACACCAATGATCGCGAAGCGTCTGAAAAAAAAGGTAATTCTTGTGCTTCTTGCGAATCATAGCTCATCATAAGCTTTTGATTGCAAAAGGAAAGCTTCTTATATCGGACGGATACGCCAGAAAGTGAGCGATTACGTGGTCGCACAAAGAACTTCCTCGCCAATCACTTTTTTGACTGGAGAATCGCTCCCAAATGAGATTTAGGGCCAGAAATTTGCAGACCGGGGTTTTCAAGGTCGGTGAATCGATTGGCGGAATTTGTTTTAACGCTTAATCAGTTAAAAGTGTCAGAAATTCGGTCACTCTCGCAATTCAACCGCTCTCGTTCATGCTTCTCAGTTAATTAACTCTATAAAACTATTTAAAAAGTTAATAATATTATTTCCAGGGTTTTCGATGTCAACTGATTGATTCGTGTGCTTTATTTAGATTTTTATCTATGAAAACTGGCTTGAGCGTTGTGTTTTTGATTGATTTTCTTGGCTGATTGATTGATTTTCAATCAGATTCGATTTTACTTCATTTAATCTGCCTTTGGTCGTCAAAAGTAAGCTCGTGTACTGCATGAAAATCACCTGTACATTATTGTAGTCACTCACGATGTACTCAGGTAAATTGTGAAGGACGGGCCAAAGAAGGCCATTCGAGATTCCGCCATAGTACACATTGTAGTCCTCTTCCTAAACTTATCCACTTAAATAGTGTTAGACAATAGCTAGACAATATCTAGACAATATCTAGACAATATCTAATACTGTAGATATAAGATTTCTATAGTACTAGCTATTATCTTGTACTGTACAGGGTGTTCCACAATTACTGATACCTGATAACTAGCTTGAAAAAACTTTTTTTAGTAGAAAACTTGTGATGAAACTTTTATTTTTAACAAATTAGATAGTAAAGTAATGGAAAAACAACAATTATTGGATATGTCCGCCTTTCGCGTTGATACAGAGCTGAAGGCGCTTCGGGAAGTCGTCGACCGTGGCACGCAAGTAGGGGAGATCCATCACCGAGGTCGGATGTAGAGAATGCGAAACTGATTTGTGTGGATTAGAAATGCCGTAAATTCGATCGTTTTGCTTGTTCAACACTTGCTGGACCGTAAAAACTTTCTCATAGGTGAAAAGAATCCTTCGGTGAGCTTTTCCAGGAAACCGAACAAGAAGTTGAGCACAATGCTGTTCTCTCTTAAGTTTTGTAGCATCGGTAATTCCGTGACACTTGTTTTTCTTGAAAGCTTTCATTCCTAAGCGTTTTCGAACGATTCGATGCATGGAAGTCACAGGAACTTTCATTTCACGCGCTATTTGACGAACAGATCTCTCTCCGGGTTGCGCCTTATTCTCTCGCGAACGTTCTTGATAACAGTCTTAACAGCCGAAGTTACAAGACTTCCACGTCCCTTTCGATCCTGATTTGTTCCAAGGGACTTAAAACGTTTGCATGTTCGCAAAACAAGTTGTTTTGCCACTCTCAGTCGTTGACGGATCGACCGTGCCGGAATACTTTTCTTGTGAAAAGAAATGATCAAGTCGCGAAAGCTGGAGGGCTTGGCCATTTTTAAAAAAGGACAATTTTTTAAATATTATTAAATGAAAACATGTTTAAAACAAGAAAAACTTAAAAAACAGTCACTCGCGTTGGACAATTTAAATGCTTTTATGATGAGGGGCCGGGGTATCAGTAATTGTGGAACACCCTGTAGAATGAATACGAAGCTTTACCTGTACAACCACCGGATTCAACTTGTACGTGCCTCGATTGTAGTTATTGAGCACACCGAGAAGAGACATTTCCTCACTAAATTGAATATTTATAAGAATATAGATACAGTAAAAATCAAGATTTAAACTAAATAGTCATTAAAATCGGACTTTGCTTTCTTTTGCGCAGCGTCGCGGCTTTGATCTGGCTTGTCATCATCAGCGATCACGTGGAAAAGAATCTAAAGTTTAAATATTGAACAAATAGAAAGCTCTAATAATTGTAGAAAGCTCAAATAACTCTAGAAAGCTCTAATAAGCCAATTTTGAGACAAAGATCGAATAAATCACCTCTCCAATCGCTTGCTTTATCAACGGGATTCCTAAAGTGTTGGTGGCTGGCGTTAAACAAGTGGTCGTCTCGGTGCTGAGCGCAGTCGACGATCTATACTTGAGCTGTATTGAGTATTGAGCTTTTTTTACGCATAGGCGAGCTACGCATAGGCGAGCTACGCATAGGCGAGCTACGCATAGGCGAGCTACGCATAGGCGAGCTACGCATAGGCGAGCTACGCATAGGCGAGCTACGCATAGGCGAGCCAAGCATAGGCGAGCTACGCATAGGCGAGCTACGCATAGGCGAGCTACTCATAGGCGAGCTACGCATAGGCGAGCTACGCATAGGCGAGCTACGCATAGGCGAGCTACTCATAGGCAAAACAAAATAGCTTTAATTCATCTCTTTATAGAATCTAAAGCACTTACGATGATCTTTTTGATAAATTCATTCCTAAATTCGCCAACCAAACATTTTCGTGATCTTTTGACATCACCGGATCCACGCAAGCCACTAAGCCACCGGAACCCTGAAAAATTTGTATATTCTATAAATATAATATAAGATTACACTATGATAGACTCATAGATCGTAAAAAAAACCGTTTAACACCCAATTTCAAGCACTTACAGCACCAATCAAGCTTAGATCCCCCTGGAAAAAGTGCTCCTTTTTTGAAGGGTTATAAATTTAGATTGAAACATCGTATTTAAAAGTCCTACATAGCATTTGAAAGCTCTCATTAAGCTCTACCAAATGGCGATAAAACTTTAACAAATACGCTAGCTTTAAGCAATTTTTAGGTGCTTTAAAAAAAGTGTTCTAAAAAAATGATTTTCAAGGGAATTTTTGACGATCGCATTTTCGTTTAGATTTAAGATTTAAACATCGTATTTACACGCTCTATATAGCATTTGAAAGCTCTTATTAAGCTCTACAAAATGGCGATAAAACTTTGACAAATATGCTAGCTTTAAGCAACTTTTAGGTGCTTTAAACAAAGTGTTCAAAAAAAATGATTTTCAAGGGAATTTTTGACGATCGCATTTTCATTGAAAACTTGTGAAAAACAACTTTTTTTTAAGTTTGTTTTTATGGGTTCTTTTCGAAAAACATGATTTCAAAATGATTTTTAGCGTTTCTAGCAGTCATAGTGCTTGAAATTGTGCCTGAAAATCATAGAAAATTTTTCTTTTGATTGAAGCATTTAAAAGTTTGGTTCAAATTACGGTATTCTTCAAAGTGACTCTCAAAATGAAAAGAGATTTATTAAAAAAACGGATTACTTTAAAAAGAACCCTTTTTCACATACCTGTTTAATTTCCCATTGTCCACTTTTTTCTTTTTTTATCGAAAAGGGTGGCGCGTTCGAGACGTTGACGAGACGTTGCTGAAAAAAACGAAAAAAAGTCGACCATTCAACGTTAACGTTAATTCAAAGTCAACGCTTACACGAGCTTTTAAAGCACTGAGCTTTTAAAGCACTGAGCTTTTAAAGCACTGAGCTTTTAAAGCACTGAGGTTTTAAAGCACTGAGCTTTTAAAGCACTGAGCCTTAAAGCACTGAGCTTTTAAAGCACTGAGCTTTTAAAGCACTGAGCTTTTAAAGCACTGAGCTTTTAAAGCACTGAGCTTTTAAAGCACTGAGCTTTTAAAGCACTGAGCTTTTAAAGCACTGAGCTTTTAAAGCACTGAGCTTTTAAAGCACTGAGCTTTTAAAGCACTGAGCAATCATTTCCTACAAAAAACACACATGAAAATGCGTATCAGCGAGTCCACCCGTTTGAAAAACGGTCGAATTCTCGTCGTTGTTCCCATCGGTTTCCGAGGTTCGTCGAGACCGCGTTTGACTATCGAAAGATGAAATTTCTTTGCAAAATTTTTTCACAAAATTCCTATAATCTATCTATTGGATTGGTGAATTGAAAACTGCGGGCTATTGTCATATGTGACAGTTTGAGCACTTTCTTCAAAAGAAACCCATTTTGGGGTCAATGGAAAAGTTGTAGAGAATCAAAAATTAGGCCTATAGCCAAATTTCCAAAAAGATACACTTAGTAGTTTCGCTTAAAATTTGTATGTTCTGTGTGTTCTTTGTGCGGCTGCGTAATCGCTCACCGTCTGGGGCAGGGCTTTTACATAACCCCCTTCCCTCTCGCTTTCGAAACTAATCTGGCCACCTACGAATCCTCAAATTGGACATTGACTTCTCCTCAAATCGAAGCTAATCTATTGGGCTGGTGAATTGAAAACTGCGGGCTATTGTCATATGTGACAGTTTGAGCACTTTCTTCAAAAGAAACCCATTTTGGTGTCAATGGAAAAGTTGTAGAGAATCAAAATGAAAGCTTATATCCAAATTTTCAGAACGATTCAAAAACTGGTTTTCAAGAAATGTCAAATTTACGAATTTTCACAAAATTTGCATTTTAAGCGAAACTACTAAGTGTATCTTTTTGGAAATTTGGCTATAAGTCTAATTTTTGATTCTCTACAACTTTTCCATTGACACCAAAATGGGTTTCTTTTGAAGAAAGTGCTCAAATGCTCAAACTGGGACATCTCCAGTCCTCGATTTTCGAGTCTCACACTTGTCTCACACACAAACCAAAATCCTACCACGAAAGAGGAATTTGCAAATTGCCTGTAAAATGGGCAGAAGTCGTCAATAATAATGGAAATTATTTGGAATGAATTCATGGTTTTCTATTGAATCAATGTTAGTTCAAAGTCCCGCAGTTTTCGATTCACCAACCCAATAATTTAGAAGTTTTATTAACGAAATTATTCAAAATTCATCTTTTCAACTCTTAAATAAACCTGTCCCATTGAGATTCTCGGCCGAGTTTCGCAAGCTATTCGTTGAGCTGCTTCGACTGAAATTTCACTTAATTTTCTTGAGGATTTGATTTCAATTTATTACTTTAGATATGTGAAAACTGTTTTTTTAAAGATTTAAAACTGTTTTTTTTCAGATTTTTATCATTTTTCTATACCTTAATCTCTTTTGTAAGTGATGAAAGCGTTCGACGAATTGCTTCGCGTTCACTCCCAGCAGCGATTTCCTGATACCAGGCACGGCTGCATAGAGTTCTCTAAACAAAAATTCTCTATTTCTCTATTTAAAAAGATGGTTTTCTTAATTGAGAAGTGACACTAAAACCCTAGGATCTCTTGTAAATTTTACAAACAATACGAACAGATACGAACAACTGAATAAATAAGACGTAGGATTTCCCTTTACTTTATATCTCGACGTACAAGCATCTGATCGACTAATGGTTACTTTTAAAAGAATCCTCATCAAATTTGGCTATAGAAAAGTATAATTTTCTGGGGTACTCACCAGCAAGAATACTGAGAAAACGAGCGTCAAAGTTGACCGGCTAACCTGCAAAAGCCGGTCAGCTTTAACGGCTTATATCTCGAGGTAGAAGCCTTGAATCGACTAACGGTTGGTTTTAAAAGAATCCTCATCAAATTTGGCCATAGAAATGTGCAGTTTGCTTTGTACACTAAGTTGTACGAAAATAAAGAGAACCGGCGTCAAAGTTGACCTACTTACCTACAGAAACCCGTCAGCTTTAACAGCTTATATCTCGAGGTAGAAGCCTCAAATCGACTTACGGTTGGTTTCATTAGAAAACTTATCAAATTTAACTATAGAAAAGTAGAATTTGTTTTAGGTGACGTAGGATTGCCCTTTGCTTTACATCTCGACGTACAAGCACCGGATCGACTAACGATTGGTTTTGAAAGAATCCTCATCAAATTTGGCTAACAATTTGTTTATTCCCTATACAAAAAAAGCTTTTAGCACACAACACAAAAACGTACAATTCGAACTAAACGGATTCGAACCGAACTCGAACTCAACAATAGACTCGTATGCGAGCACTCTACTTGTAGACACTCTACCTGTAGACACTCTACTTGTAGACACTCTACTTGTAGACACTCTACTTGTAGACATCGCACTACAAGCACCAAAAACTTGTAAAGACAGATCAAAAATCTAAATTCTTTGAAATGTTTTGTGCACTCCAGCTAAGAAATTCGAAATTCGAAGGAATTTCGAAATTCGTGCAAGGAATTTCTTGCAAATTGTCGAAGAAATTCAAGTGATTCAAGTGATTCAGTTGATTTCTAACCCGTTTCCTATATCACACTATTTGTGGAGAGAAACACTCTCTACTTGCCTGTGCTTTGTCAATTTTCAGTCATTTTCAATTACATCAATTTGTATTGTTGAATAAAATGGCCTCAACTTACTTCAATCGACTCTTTCCCGTGTTTACATCGTATAAAGTGAGGGAGAAAAGTAAAGCGTCTCTGTATTTTGTTCCCCGTGACAAATCCGAGTCGAAAATATGGGGTACGGTGTGGCGCCAAAACTGAAAATAATGATAACAATGGAAAATAAAACTGAAAATAAAGATAAGCAACTATTTACTTTAAAAATAAGCCGAAAAATTTGTTAAATTTCTAAGGAGACATGCTTAAAATCGGTTTTTCCGGGGGTGTTTCTGTTGACGCCATGGCGCAGTGAGGAGTGCTTTCTCCTATCACGCAAACGACCCGGGTTCGACCCCGGTTAACACTTCGTTTTTGTTTTCATTCTTTTAAAAAGCACGATAATCTATTCTGAGGTTTATAAGGTAGGGAAAGCTGAAATTTCTTCAAAATCCGAGTAAAATATGGGGTACGGTGTGACGCCAAAACTGAAAATAATGATAACATTGGTTTCGGCTTATTTACTTTAAAAATAAGCCGAAAAATTTGTTAAATTTCTAAAGAGAAATGCTTAAAATCGGTTTTTCTGGCTAGGTTCCTGTTGTCGCCATGGCGCAGTGAGGCGTGCTTTCTTCTACCACACAAACGATCCGGGTTCGTCCCCGGTTAACACTTCGTTTTTGTTTTTATTCTTTTAAAAAGCACAATAATCTATTATTGTCCTCTCTACTATCTATATTATCACAATCTAAGGTTTATAAAGCTAGAGAAAGCTGAAGGGAAAGTTTATAAAGCTAGGGAAAGCTGAAATCTCCTCAAACCACCTGTACAGTATGAAATCCAAGTGCTGAGATCAAATTCTCGAAAGTTAAATGCGCTTCGAAAGCATTTGACAAGCAAAATTCGACGATAAGCAAGAGACACTGAATATTTTTTTATTTCTTTTCATTTCTTTTCATCTCTAACAATCGATTTCTTTAGATATCTTGCAAATTTTTGAACCTGAAAATCCCCGTCAGTTGAATTGTTTTTCTCTTTAGATTTTCGCCACCCTTGAACCAAAGTCTCGAGAAATTTTCGATTCAAATTTTTCAAATTCAATTTTTCGGCTTCTTCGCTTCTTCCAAGCGTTTTTATTAGATCTATAAAAATCTAAATTTGAATTTGAAGAGAATTTGCATTATTTCCTTTAAGAAATACATTTTCAAACGTTTCCAACGAAATTTTTGAGCAAAACCGCCGATGAAATGGCTCATCAGGAAGAATTGGACCATCTAGAAATCAAAAAATTTATAGGGTTTATAGATTTTATAGATTTTCTATATAAATTCTTAACAGTTAACTAATTTTATTTTTTATAATTTTATAGAGGAGACTTTTAGCTTTCGAATGATACCAAATAGAGAACGATTGGGCTAGCCGATCCCGAGAAAATCAAGAGAGAAAACACTCGAATCAAATCGCTAAAGGGAACCTTCTTATACTGGTCGGCTATGCCAGAAAGCGAGCGATTACGTGGCCGCACAAAGAACACCTCTTGACAGTGCTCCCAAATGAGATTTAGGGGCAGAAATTTGCAGACGGGGGTTTTCGCGGTCGGTGAATCGATTGGCGGAGTTTGTTTTAATGCTTAGCCAGCAAAAAGTGTCAGAAATGCCGATTCGGTCGCTCTTGAACTGACTTTTCAGTGAATTGCCTCTACAAAACAGCTCCTTTCCCTTTACGGATTACAAAAGGAAAGCTTTTTATACCGGTCCGGTATGCCAGAAAGCGAGAGATTACGTGGTCGCACAAAGAACTCCCTCGCCACTCACTTTTTTTTAACTAAAAATGGCCCCCCAAATGAGATTTAGGGGCAGAAATTTGCAGCAAGGGGTTTTCGAGGTCGGTGAATCGATTGGCGATGTTCGTTTTAATGCTTAGCCAGCAATAAGTGCCAGAAATCCCAATTTGGCCACTCTTGAACTGAATTTTCAGTGAATTGACTAGTGTCCTCTACAAAACTATATAGAAATTGAATAATATAGATATAAATAATATAAATGAAATAATATATGGAAAGTGAATCGATTATGATCGATCGATAAAGTTATGGAGGCTTTTAAGTGACCAAACTGACCGTCAAAAATCACCTCCTTCAAGTGCTCGGTGCTCATCCCTTTTTTTTTCGCGGAAGTTGAGCGAATTTTTTGTATCACTTTTTAAACGTTAAATGAAGCTGAAATCGAAGAAAATACTTCTAAATTAAGTCAAAAATCGAAATAGAAATCGAAATTTCAAGGTTACACTCTAAAATCGAGGAAATTGATCGTTTTTTGATTTTTTTGGGGAAATTTCAAGGAATTGAGCTCGGAAACATTTTCAAACTGGTTTCTCGAGTAGAGAAAAAGTTGAAAAGTTGTAGATAAAAGTTGGAAGATAAAAAATAAAAGAAAGATAAAAAGTTGAAAAATTTGAAAAATTGAAAAATTGAAAAAGAAATTTGAGATTTCAGCAAAAATCGATAATGATCTCAATAAAAAAACAAAAAAAAATTATTATAAAATATTTTAAAAAAAGAAAAATGAACATTGGAAAATGATCTTTTAGAATTTAAAATTTAAAAAATAAAAAACTTTCAATTGAGTCGTTTTCGGAAGACCAGCAACGAGGCGGAGCTCAAGAGTGGCTGAGACGGTCAGAGAAAGGTCAGAGAAAGGATGGCTAGAGTGCAACCACCACCAGCACCAGCAAGTCCCTTGAAGGGAACCTCCTCGGGCACAATAGGAAGACGCAGCTCGACCAAGACCTAAGAAGTACGGATATGCGCCAGCACTCGGGACTCAGAGATCCAGTGGAAGTGATCGAGAGAAAAAGACTCAGGCCACGTAGAAGAACAGACGACAGATGGACGAATACGGATCACAGAGTGGCTACCACGAGACCAGAAGAGGCCCATCGGAAGACCAGCAACGAGGTGGAGCTCTCGGGACTCAGAGATCCAGTGGAAGTGATCGAGAGAAAAAGACTCAGATGGGCCGGCCACGTAGCCAGAAGAACAGACGACAGATGGACGATACGGATCACAGAGTGGCTACCACGAGACCAGAAGAGGCCCATCGGAAGACCAGCAACGAGGTGGAGCACAAGAGTGGCAGAGAAAGGTCAGAGACCGTCAGAGAAAGGTCAGAGAAAGGATGGCTAGAGTGCAACCACCACCAGCACCAGCAAGTCGAAGACTTCGAACCAGGAACAATCAAGCTAGGAAACACTGGATGACAATAGCAAGGGATCGAGAAATGTGGAAGCAGGTTGTGATCTGGGCAAATAGAAAAACCTAAGTGCGAAGACAGAGCAAAAAAAATTGAGTCGTTTATTTAAGCGCTCTTTGCGTACACCGTAAACCGTAAACGAATGCTTTTTGGTGCACTAGAATCTCCTTTTTTTCCCCTCTAAAACGCTCTGTACCGAAAAAATGAAGAATAAAGAAAAGCGAAGAATTCAGTGCACCAAATCATCTGTGTTTACCCATTCAAGTACACAATGAACAAAGTGATAAACTAGATAGATAAACGCACGCTTTCTGGCAAACTTTCTGCTTTTTAAGTACGCTAGAAAGTGTACGTTTATCATGAGAATAAGACAAAAAAAAAGATAGATGAAAATTTGAAAATTTGAAAGAAAAGATACTCAGCTAATCAGCTAATCAGCTATTTAAAATTTCGATTTATTAGACAGCTAATAAAATGTTCATTTTGTGATCAAAGGAAAAAAGAAAATGGCCATTTCCCGTCCGTCTGATCACACAATCAAAGGGAAAAGAAAAAGGGAAAGAAAATTGAAAAGAAAAAAGAGAAAGAAAAGGAAAAAGAAAAAAGCTCATGTGATAGGGAAAAATATAAGGAAACAGGGAAATTGAAAGCAGAAAAACAAGGCTTTCTTTTTCTTTTCCACTCAAATAAAATGAGAAAATAGATAAAATTTTAAAGCCATTAACTGATAGTTTACTTTAATCAACAATAGCAACAACAATCAACAATCAACAATAGCAACAACAACAACAACAATCAACAATAGCAACAACAATCAACAATAACAATCATAAATTTCTTTCTACTTCATTAGAAACGAGTATAAAAGTTTTTTAGATAAAAAAAAGATAAAAGTTAACTTAAATTTTTAATGGTTTATGCTAGAAATATGTTTTATATCTCAAAAGATTACCCATTTTCTCTACTTTAATTTGATATAAAAGTGCAGAGAAACAAACGTACTGGTGTCAAGATATGAGCGTTTGTTTGAGGAGTAAACTTCGACTACACAACGCTCCTATAGGGGCTCGCTCTATTACAGCATTTACGTAAAGTTTTTATGATTCCTTACCTTTGCTTGCTTTTTTTTTATTGCTATTACTATTGCTATTGCTTTTTTTTACCATAACTTACAAGTTTTTAACATCTAAAAGCTCTATTCATCAACTAAAATTTCTCTTTTAACGCTTCCGTTTTTTTCGATTTTTCAAAGCAAAAAGTTAAGGAATCATAAGCAAAAAAAAAGCCAATTTAAGCACAATTTTAGCTTAAGAAATCATCAATAAATAACACTTTCGCCCAATCACGTGTCGTCCAACTTCGGTAGGTCCGTGCAAAGTCAAGGCGCTGCTTCCGGTGCTTAGAATTTATCAGAGGTTTACGGGCAACCCTTCTTGCAGATAATCCAGCCTGATTTAATCGTCGTCTGATCGTTTCCGGCGATACAACCTTGTTAAATTGATCCCTCATCATTTGGCTTCCATCGGTTGATGTTTTGTTCGGATCGTTTTTCACCATTTGGATCACGGCTCGATATTCTTTTATGGTTGTGATTGGTCGTCGGCCACTCTTGAGGCCTCGATGAAGATTTTTGCCGACTTTTGATTGAGAAAAAATGCGGTGCACTGTCCATATCGAGCAATTGAATTTACAAGGTGCATTATAATTATCTACGTCATAATTATCTATCTACGTCATCATTATCTATCTACGTCGCAACCACTCGTACTCACTCTAGCGGGTGTAGCTCAGTAAAAAGATAACCGATTCTCACAAAAATTTCACAGGAAAATTGTTGAGTGGATCTCCTGTAGCGGTGCCCATTATCTAACCGACAGGAAATTATTAATTTTTTTTTTAAACAAGCTCTCAAAGTTGGCACTTAGCCTAGCGCGCGATCTAGTTTTCGGGTTTTACCTGTGAAAAATTTTTGTGGGAATCGGTTACCTCTTGACCGAGCTACACCCTCCACTTAGCCCTCCATTTGGCTATAAGTCTAATTTTTGATTCTCTACAACTTTTCTATTGACACCAAAATGGGTTTCTTTTGAAGAAAGTGCTCAAACTGGGGCATCTCCAGTCCTCCATTTTCGAGTCTCACACTTGTCTCAAAGCTAGACTACGCAACACCCCGCACCGTCATCATGGGGGTGGGGTACTATTACAGTATTTACGGTAAGCATAGCTCTTGAATTAAGCACAAATCAGCTAGTTAGCTGTTTTAATCTCAAAATACCTACCGTAAATACTGTAATAGTACCCCACCCCCCTCGTACAGTCGCGTAGTCGCAAAAGTTTTTTATTTTTTAGTATTTCATTTTTTTTCAAAGCGCTCGTACTTTCAAAAAAACGCGTCTTTGATACTACTTTCTCTACTTTAATTTGATACTAAAGCGTACAAAAACAAACGTACTGGTGTCAAGATCTGAGCGTTTATTTGGGAGTAAACTTAGACTGCCCGACACTCCGTTCTATTCTCAACACCAGCTTTTCATAAGTTTTTCTACTTCATTAGAAACGAGGATAAAAGCTTTTTAGGATAAGAAAGATAAAAGTTAGCTTGAAATTCGTAGAGAATAGTGTGCCAGTGTTTTGTTCAGAGAGTTTTGTGTAGAAAAAAAGATTAAATCATTGAGTCTGTCAATTGCACTATGTTAAAGATTTCTTTTCTACGAAATAAGCATCATTTTCACGTAAGCAAACGAAACTTTCAGTCAAATTTTTAAAAAAAATATTTAACTTTCGTTTTCCCAGTTCAATTCCTTGTTTTCTTTTTCATTTTTATGTTTTCAAATCGAATCTAAATCCATAATACGCTTGTCTAAACTCATCAATCAAAAAAAAGCGATTATTTCATTTATTTCATCGATTTCACCGATTTCAAATACATCCAAAATCCAAAATCCAAAAAGAATCATATTTCTTTTGAAACTCTAATCAAATCAATCACGAATTTCTTGTCTAAATCCTTCAGAAAGCTTAAAAATGCTCATTTCCAGCTCAACTTTGAAATTCGGTAAGTGTTTTGAGAAAAAAATTTTGAAAAATTTCTTTTAAATCTTTTGATTTCCCTTTTGAAAATCCATAAATCCACTTCTTTTAAATAGCAAAAAAAAAACTATTCTAAGGTTTATAAAGCTACTGAAAGCTGTAATTTCTTCAAACCACCTGTACAGTATGAAATCCGAGTGCTGAGATCAAATTTTCGCCAAAACGCCAAAACTGAAAATAATGATAACAATGGTTTCGGCTTATTTACTTTAAAAATAAGGCGAAAAATTTGTTAAATATCTAAGGAGACATGCTTAAAATCGCTTTTTCTGGCCTGCTTTCTGTTGTCACCATGGCGCAGTTGGGAGTGCTTTTTTCTGTCACACAGACGATCCGGTTTCGGCCCCGGTTAGCACTTCGTTTTTGTTTTTATTCTTTTAAAAAGCACAATAATCTATTATTGTCCTCTCTACTATCTATATTATCACAATCTAAGGTTTATAAAGCTAGGGAAAGTTTATAAAGCTAGGGAAAGTTAGAAAGCTAGGGAAAGTCTATAAAGATAGGGAAAGTTTATAAAGCTAGGGAAAGTTTATGAAGATAGGGGAAAGTTTATAAAGATAGGGAAAGTTTATAAAGCTACTGAAAGCTGAAATTTCTTCAAGACACTTTCTGTAATCTCTAATTTCTTAAGTGTTTTGAAAAAGAAAAATTTCTTTTTAAATGTTTTGATTTCCCTTTTTAAAATCCATAAAACCACTCAATAACCTAGAAATTTTTTCTCTTTAAATCTCTTCAAATCTTTGAAAAGATCGAGCAAAACTTTTTTTATAGATCTTAAAAACAGATCGTAAAAGTTTAGCCTTGACCTAGTGAGGGATTGGGTACAAAAAGGTGGAGAATAAAGGCTCAACCCTATTCTCCAATCGTCTTTTTCTCTTTTTATATAAGATTTTTGAGTTGTAGAGTTAGAGCTTTATCGATTTCGAGCTTTTATTCGAATATTCGACACAGTTTGCGATTACGTGGCCGCACAAAGAACACCTCTTGACAATCATTTTTCTTTTGACTTGAGCATCGCTCCCAAATAAGTTTTAGGGCCAGGAATCTGCAGCAAGGGGTTTTCGAGATCGGTGAATCGATTGGCGATGTTTGTTTTAATGCTTAGCATGCAAAAAGTGTCAGAAATCCCAATTTGGCCTCTCTTCAGTAGAGGGGCCTCCCCGCTAGCAGATCTCGAGAAAATAAAGAAAGAAAAAGACTCAAAACAGATCGCAAAAGGAAAGCTTCTTATATCGAACAGATATGTCAGAAAGCGAGCCATTACGTGGCCGCACAAAGAACACCTCTTGACAATGATTTTTCTTTTGACTTGAGCATCGCTCCCGAATTAGATTTAGGGTCAGAAATTTGCAGCAAGGGGTTTTCGAGGTCGGTGAATCGATTGGTGATGTTTGTTTTAATGCTTAGCATGCAAAAAGTGTCAGAAATACCGATTCGGTCGCTCTTGAACTGACTTTTCAGTGAATTGCCTGGAGAATAAAGGCTCAAATCTATTCTCCAATCGTCTTTTTCTCTTTTTATATAAGATTTCGTGTTGTAGAGTTAGAGGTTTATCGATTTCGAGCTTTTTTCGAATATTCGATACAGGATTGCTGTTAATGAGGGGAAAGTCGAGTTATTGAGGTACTCCTAGAGTTTAGCACTCTTTGGATTTTTTTTAAAAGTAAACCGAGCTAGGAGTTAGACCTGATCTAGCTTGAGAAAAAGCTTTAGAAAATCCTTGAGTTGTTTTTAGCACATTTACGATAAGGTTTTCTTTATTTTTGTGTGTTATTTGCTTTCCAGCTCACTCCCGAAAGTTATTTCCCTTTTTGATAAGTGATTTCCCTTCAAACTCGTTTAAAAACGCTTACAGACAACCAATTTACTGAAGTAAACGATCAAAATAAAAAGAAATCTTTGAGAATCATTTACCAAAAAATTGTTTGCAAAAATATTGACTTCAAAGAAAGTTATTAACATTTAAATGCGAATTTTAGAGAAATTTCTTTTTAAACATTCCGAACTTTCTTTAAACTCTTATTTTTTTTAATCTTTTTTCAGATAAATGATTCATGAATTTTCCTCTTTGCTTACAAGCTTTAGAACATTCTTGCAGGGCCATAAAATAGCTCTATTCATCTAGTTTCATGCGCTAAATCATGTAGTCTTCAACATAAACTCAAATCCAGCAAGTGTTAACTTAGTTATCGATTCATACACTCTTCACTCTACACTCAATCGTTCGCCCCGATCACCCTTTTTACTAACTTCCGTGAAGGAGCTCAGTGAACGACAAATGACCCGATTTTCGCTGAGTTTTTGAGTAAATAGAGGAACGGCCTTGGGGTGGGGAAAAGGCTGGGGAAGGGCTGAGGCTCGGAGGGGAAGGGTCATCCTTTCAACTCAAAACCTTCTTTCTCTACTATCAATTCCTTTTTTTATCTCTCTAGCACAAGGTTATTAAAGTTTTTAGGGTCCTGACCTCGTTAGACTCATTGTTTATCAATCTTTAACCCACAGAGAAGCCTAGACTAATTTAACTATAGTGTCTAGCTACAGTATCCAGCTACAGTATCTAGCTACAGAATCTAGAGATCCAGCTACAGTATCTAGAGGTCCAGCTACAGGATCTAGAGATCCAGCTACAGGATCTAGAGATCCAGCTACAGGATCTAGAGATCTAGCTACAGTATCTAGAGATCTAGCTACAGTATCTAGAGATCTAGCTACAGTATCTAGAGATCCACCTACAGGATCTAGAGATCCAGCTACAGGATCTAGAGATCCAGCTACAGGATCTAGAGATCCAGCTACAGGATCTAGAGATCCAGCTACAGGATCTAGAGATCTAGCTACAGTATCTAGAGATCTAGCTACAGTATCTAGAGATCTAGCTACAGTATCTAGAGATCCACCTACAGGATCTAGAGATCTAGCTACAGGATCTAGAGATCTAGCTACAGTATCTAGAGATCCACCTACAGGATCTAGAGATCCAGCTACAGGATCTAGAGATCCAGCTACAGGATCTAGAGATCCAACTACAGTAACCAATTACCACTCATAGTCATTTCTAATACTTTATCTAGTGCTCAGTTTTGTAAAAGTTTACATTCTATAAATTGGATACTATAAATAATTCTATTTTTAAATCAATATTCAAAAAATCCTCTACCCAATCCAATCAAAAAGCGCCAAATGGGAGATAAAGTCGACGTGGCTTTTTTCCCCCTTTTCTCTCTCGTAGTTCAGTGTGGACGTGGTGCTTCAAAGAACGTTTCTTTCTGTTCACCTTTCCTTTTTCCTTTTCTTTTTTTTCTTTTCTTTTTCCTTTTCTTTTTTCTTTTCCATCGTTGACCTAATCGTTATTTGTTGACCTCTTGCTTATTCTGTGTGCTCTTTTCCGTCTCTGTCCTTTTATTTTATGCCAACGGCTGTCCGTCTGAAGCCCGGTGCCGGCAAATACGGTTTGTTTCTATGGGAAATCGATTTTTTAAAGCTTGTACTGTTATTTTCCAGCAGTAGCTAGCTTTTTTTCAATTTCTAGACTTGATTTTATCTAAGCTAATCGTATTTTGATCGATTTCTTCATCCTTAATTTTTTTTTATAGTTTATAGTTGCTCGGGATAAGATGTGTCTCTATCCCTTTGTTCAGAATGTTTTATTAAAGAATAGAAGGGTTTAAATACAGAAAAGTTGAGGGGGAAATGTTTAGAAATGTTTAGAAATGTCTATGTTTTGGCTAGCTTATGGTTTTGGCTAACTGGGGAAATGGATCGATAGCTTTCAAAGAGAAATAAACTTTATCGGAAGAAGTTCCGAACAATAGTGTTATAATATAGCTTAATAATGCTTTAGATTTATAAATTTATAAGATTTCTTTATGAGTTTATAAGTTTATAGCTTATAGATTTGAATATCAAAACGTAAACTAGAAGCTAGATTTTTAAAGTCTTGCGATAAATAAAGTTATACCTTTTCTTAGCATTTTTGAAAGGAAAAAGTCGAACTAAAAAGTTGCTTGCTTCTGATACGAGCTTGAAATTAAAACTTTTTCTGAGCTAAATCTCAAGTCATAGCTTTGCTTGGTTCTCATGCGATCCTGTAATTAAAACTCTTTCCGATCTAAAGCACAGATCATAGCTTCACTTGGTTCTAATAGCTTTCTATTCTAGCTTGAACTTGAAACGTTTTCCTATCTAAAGCTCAGATCTAAAGCTCAGATCTAAAGCTCAGATCTAAAGCTCAGATCTAAAGCTCAGATCTAAAGCTCAGATCTAAAGCTCAAACCTAAAGCATGTCCGCACTACCGTAACCGCTTGGCTTACGATATCTGGGTCACACTTTAGAACGGCTACGGTGTTCAGCAAAATGTCTGCAAATGACCTGACCTGACCTGATAGAGCTTATCTATAATCTAACCAAAAAAATTCTAGAAAGAGTGCGTTTCCTGGTGAGCACAAAGTACGCACAAAGTACTCATAGAGTAATGTACTTTGTGCTCTAAATTTGTAAACGCAGCCCTTCCTGGCGCGCTCAATCTTTTACGGTGTGCGCTTTTCTTTAATCAAATCAAATCAATTCAATGATTTGTTTTTTCTCAAAAATGACCGAGCTTATCATTCAGCGATTCTCTGATTGATCTCAGCCACTTAGAGGTCAATGTTACACAGAAAAAAAGGGGGAAAAGGGGGGAAAAAGGGGGAAAAGAAGAAAATGACCTTCCCTTGATAGCAGACATTCGTTTTTTTTTTTCTTCCTTCAATATCTTATTTTAGCCTTTTTTTTTGCCTTAAATTTCTATCATTTTTCAGTAGCTATGGGTCTGATTGGTCTCTTCGTTCTCGGCTTTGCCGCCATCGCGTTGGTGAGTTCGATTTTATGGGGGAAAATAGAAGCTATTCAAAGATTTCTCATCTTTATCTACACAATACTTAGCTAGAAATATTATCTATTAGATTACAAATATATGACTCTACTGTACTTAAAGAATAGCTTAAAAACAGCTTAAAAACAGCTTAAAAACAGCTTAAAAACAGCTTAAAAAAGCTTAAAAATAGCTTAAAAACAGCTTAAACAGCTAAAACAGCTTAAAAACAGCTTAACCAGCTTAAAAACAGCTTAAACAGCTTAAAAACAGCTTAAAAACAGCTTAAAAATAGCTTAAAAACAGCTTAAAAAAGCTTAAAAATAGCTTAAACAGCTAAAAAACAGCTTAAACAGCTTAAAAACAGCTTAAAAACAGCTTAAACAGCTTAAAAAGCTCTTTGAAAATTAAGCTTTTTGTTTAAAAATTAAGATCAAGAATAGATTAAAATCTCCATGTACTTTAAGAGGTAAAGATTTTGATATTTAGATTGATACGTATTCTTCCTTTTTTCTTATCATATTCTTATCCTTTCCAGTTCGGCTCTTCGTCGGCCGCCGGCGGTGTGACGGTGACAAAGCAAGTCTTCTTTGATATCACCATCGGGGGAAAGAAGGTACAGATTTCATTCAAATATTCTAAGAAATGCTTATCTTTTATTTTTCTGATTTTATTCTCTTATTGAGTGTTTAAAATTTAAAATTTCAAGCTCTTAGTAACTCATTTTCAAGTCAAAATGACTGCCAATAAGCTACCGGTGTTTCAACGAAATTCTAGGCTCATAAGTCACAACAAAATTCGATTTTCAAAACCGAATCTAGCTAGAAAATTTCTCTGTAGAATTCTAAGAAATATTTACTTTTATTTTTCTGATTTTCGCGCTGATTTTTGAGAAAAACTTCTTCAAAGTTTCGGGGAATTTTTAACAAACCGAAACCTATAAAAAGGCACCACACTGAACTGCAGTAAAAGCAGTGATAGTCTAGGGAATAGTGTGCTAGACTTTGTACTAGAAGCAGTGATAGTCTAGGGAATAGTGTGCTAGACTTTGTGCTAGAAGCAGTGATAGTCTAGGGGATAGTGTGCTAGACTTTGTGCTAAAAGCAGTGATAGTCTAGGGGATAGTGTGCTAGACTTTAAAGCCTATACCGTATTTACTCGCAGGTGCAATTCCGATTGCTGCCAAACTTTTTCATTTTTTTGGAAAACTTGAAAAATCGTGCTCGGTTCCTTTGGTGACGTCATCCAAAAATTGAAAAACATTTCTTTATGATTATTATAATGTTTTAAAGCTGTTTTAAAGCAGTTCTAGCTATGCTCAATTTCTTAGAATTCTATGGAAACATTTTCTAGCTAAATCCGCTTACGAAAATCGGTGAAAAGTTGAAAAAGTTCCCTAGTTAGGTCTAGTAAAGTCTTGGTGAGTTCTTGGTGAGGCTTTACATCTAATCTTTTCTAGGAGTGGCTGGCTTTCCTGCAGAATAGCTGGCTTTCCTGCAGAATAGCTGGCTTTCCGGCTATTTCCTGCAGAATAGCTTTACGCATAGCAGAATAGCTAGCAAGATAAGTACTCGTTTATCTCAAGAATTTCAGGAAGGCCGCATCGTGATCGGTCTCTTCGGCGATGTTGTTCCAAAAACCGCTCGCAACTTCTTGGAGTTGGCCACCGGGCAAAATGGTTTCGGCTACAAGGGATCCAAATTCCATCGTGTCATCAAGGATTTCATGATTCAAGGTTTTTTGAAAAGATCAATAAGGAAATAATTAGATAATAAAGGAAATAATTAGATAATTTCTTAAAATTAACATTTTTCCAGGAGGAGATTTCACTCGAGGCGACGGAACTGGAGGAAAATCGATCTACGGAGAGCGATTTGCTGTGGGTTTAGTTTAAAGATCGATTATCTATCTTATTTAAAACTTTCTACTTTTTTTTTGCTTCATTCCAGGATGAGAACTTTGACCTGAAGCACTATGGAGCTGGATGGTTGTCGATGGCCAACGCTGGAGCTGACACTAATGGATCGCAATTCTTCATCACCACTGTGAGTTTATTAAGAAAGGCAACGAAATTACCGTAATCTAATAGAGTTTTTTACTTAATTTTTACAGTACTACTTAGCTCTGAAACTTTTCTAAAATCTCTAGGTGACCACCACCTGGTTGGACGGACGCCATGTTGTTTTCGGAAAGATTTTGGAAGGAATGGATCTTGTGAGAAAGATCGAATCGACCAAGACCCGACCTGGAGATCGACCGGAGAAGGTAACGACTAGGAGAATTAACAGTAACACAATTAACAGCTACAGTATAAAAGATATGTAGCTACGGTGACTCACAATCAGACCCTTGACTCACAATCAGAACCTATTGACGTATCGTCTAGGAGGAGACTCTAGGAGGAAACCGTGATCTAGAACTCTGGAGTACTGTAGTCTTTGGCTGCTAATAGTAAACCGTGAATCTCGGCTACAGTAGCCCTTGGCATTCTTCTATGTAATAAAAGGAAGAAATTGGCTAGAAAAGGTAGAAGGGGATTGAAGCCTTGACCTTTTGCTTTCCTTTTGCTTTTTGGACAATTCCTCTAACTACTGAGCTATCCGGTAACTTGCGAAGAGAAAGAGGGAAGAAGAGGAAGAAGGGGAGAAGAAGAGAGGAAGGGGGAAGAAGAAATGAAAAAGAAAAGAAGAAGACAGGAAGAAGAAGACAAGAAGAAGATAGGAAGAAGACAGGAAGAAGACAGGAAGAAGACAAAAAGAAGATAGGAAGAAGACAGGAAGAAGAAAAGAAGAAGATAGAAAGAAGAAGACAGGAAGAAGAAGACAGGAAGAAGGAGACAGGAAGAAGAAAGGAAGAAGACAGGAAGAAGACAAGAAGAAGAAAAGAAGAAGACAAGAAGAAGAAGACAGGAAGAAGACAGGAAGAAGAAAGGAAGAAGACAGGAAGAAGAAAGGAAGAAGACAAGAAGAAGACAAGAAGAAGAAAGGAAGAAGACAGGAAGAAGAAAGGAAGAAGACAGGAAGAAGACAAGAAGAAGAAAAGAAGAAGACAAGAAGAAGAAGACAGGAAGAAGACAGGAAGAAGAAAGGAAGAAGACAGGAAGAAGACAAGAAGAAGAAAAGAAGAAGACAAGAAGAAGAAGACAGGAAGAAGACAGGAAGAAGAAAGGAAGAAGACAAGAAGAAGAAAAGAAAAGGAAGCGCCTACAGTGCTCCAAAGTCAATTTGTAGTTCATTTACGCAAATAGTTTGCAGATCAGAGTTCAAAATGTGTCGTTTTCGGTATACTTTGAATTTCTAAAAGCATCCCTTTCTGGTGCACTCGTTTCTTCATTTTTCTCTTGTTTTCCTGGAAAACAAGGAGGAATTCAGTGCACCAGAAAGGGCTTTTTACACGGGACTACAAAAAACACTACAGTCCACCGTACAGTACCGTCGATTAAATGTAAAACAAATGTAAAACAAATGTAGAAACATTCTAGGATGTGGTGATCGCTGATTGCGGAGAGCTTCCGTTGGCTGCTCCATTCGAAACACCAAAAGAGGGTGTAAACTAAAGAAAATCCGACAGAAATCACGCTTAATCGAATCGTTTTTTTTTTTTTCCGACAACGAACCATTGTAATTTGTTTTCTTATTTACTTTTTGTGATTTTCTTTCTTTTTCTTTTCACGAGTTCTCAAAATGGGTCTCTTTTTTTTAAAATTTTAAATAATTTATTCATTTTTTAAATAATAAATTATTCAAAATAAGGCTGAGATTCGCAAAAAAAACGCAAAAAACACAAAAATGCAGAAATCTACAAGAAACGAAATGCTAAAAAGGAAGTAGGCTAGTTTCCGCAACTTTTTTTGCGCAACAGGGTCATTTGCGCAACTGGGTCCTTTTGCGCAACTCGCCATAACTTTCTTCTAAGTCGATCAATCTTTATGATTTTGGTGTCATTTTGTAGATCTCAATAAGTGCAACAAAATGACACCAAAATCATAAAGATTGACCGACGTAGAAGAAAGTTATGGCGAGTTGCGCAAAAGACCTAGTTGCGCAAATGACCCAGTTGCGCAAAAAATTTGGCGCAAAGTAGCCTACCCCCTAAAAAGGCAAGGAAATGCTGAAAAAACTTCTCAACTGAATATCTTTTGTGCAAAAGCGGCTTTAATTATCGTTTTTCACTCTTTTTTATGGGGCTGGGACAAATGCGATTTTTTTTTTGCGCACCTGCACATTTGCGCACCTTTTTTTTTGCTGGAAAAGGCCTTAGGAAAGGTCGTAGAGCTTCAAAAATGTTTTCATACAAGGGAATCGTATACGTAGATTCCGAATTTCGACAAATCAGACCTAGCTGACACGTCAAATTTGGGCTAAAAGGCAAAAACTGCGGAAAAGCGTTGCGTAGTTTTTGCCTTTTAGCCCAAATTTGATGTGTCAGCGAGGTGTGATTTGTCGAAATTCGAAATCTACGCATACGATTCCCTTACACGAAAACATTTTTGAAGCTCTACGACCTTTCCTAAGGCCAAAAAAAGGTGCGCAAATGTCCAGGTGCGCAAAAAAAAGGCCCCATTTGTCCCACCCCCAGGAAATGCTAAAAAGACAAGGAAATGCTGAAAAAAAACTTCTCAACTGAATATCTTTTGTGCAAAAGCGGCTCTAATTATCGTTTTTCACTCTTTTTTATCTAGTTTGATAGCAGTTTCAAAGAAATTGAAGAGAAAAAAACGGATTTTGATTTTTGAAGGATTTTTTTTTGTTTCAACCGGCTACTAATGGTGACACTCCGTTAGGGGTTATTGCTCGCCCGTCCACCGCAATCGAGTGAATCTGAAAAAGGACGATAGTTTATCTTGCCTTTTAACGAATACTGTATCGAATCGATGGTACTTGTCGGTTCAGCATTCACAAAGACTCATCTCGGTGAAGGTAAAGACTCATGTGTCCCACATCCGAGTCTTCTCGCTTATCGATTTTCGTTCGACTGATCGACTGATTTGATTTCAGACGAGCACTCTACTTCACTGAACATAATCGCCCCTCAAAAGTTGTCAGCTTCTTGCTTAACCGAGTCTCTGTGGATTTAGAACCGACAAGTACCAAATCGAATTGCAATTTACGTTGCATATTGCAATACCAAATCGAATTGCAATAAACAAAATACCGTAACCCGTTGGTTTTAGAGCTTTGTTTTAGTTGTAGTTGTAGTTGATTTACAAGGAAAAAAGGAAAACAAATTTGAGGTCAAATTTGAGGTCAAATTAGAGATCAAAATCTTTTTTTATAAGACTTCTTTCACCAAAAACTTTCACAGAAATGTGAGCTTGTAGTGTAGTGGCTAAGAGTCTTGTTTCCGAAACAAGTGATTAAGCTTTTGCTCGGGTTCGATCCCTTTCTTTTCTTTTCATTTTACAAGAGAAGATCCTAAATAAGGCTTCTTTTATCGTCTCAAAAAACGTGGCTGTAGTGTAGTGGCTAAGAGTCTTGTTTCTAAAACAAGTGATTAAGCTTTTGCTTGGGTTCAATCCCTTCCTTTTCCTTTCATTTTACAAGAGAGGATCCTATATAAGACTTCTATCGCCGTCTAAAAATGTGCTTGTAGTGTAGTGGATCAGGGTCTTGTTTCCGAAACGAGCTGTCAAGTTTTGCCCGGGTTCAATCCCGTCCTTCTCCTTTCATTCTACAGTCCTATAAGGCTCTTTCGTCAAAAAACGTGGCTGTAGTGTAGTGGCTAAGAGTCTTGTTTCTATTAGGTTGATGCAAAAGTCTTTTTCATTTTTTTCGTACTTTCGCTAAAAAAGTAACAAATGCACCAATTGAACAACGGTTTATTGCCGAAAGGCCAATTATTTTTCTGCAAATGACATTAAACGGTTTAAATGTCTTATGTCTAGTTTTGGGCCTGGGGGTGTCAAAAAGGCGACGGCTCGATGATGCATTTGACGCTTTAGCTAAGGAAACCAATCTTGATGTTAATAAATAGGGCAAAAAAGTTTGATATTTTTCAGATTTTCAGGAAATTGATTCAGCCAATTTCTTTATAGGGTTTTTATAGTTTTTGAAACCCGTTTTCCTCTGAATTTCTTGAAAGTGAACCCAAATTGACTTAAAAGATGGGAAATTCAACAATAACCTTTCATTTGGCAAACCATAGGTTATTCATGACTTTGTTATTTTTCAAAAGAAGTACGAAAAAAATGAAAAAGACTTTTGCATCAACCTAATAAAACAAGTGATTAAGCTTTTGCTTGGGTTCAATCCCTTCCTTTTCCTTTCATTTTACAAGAGAAGATCCTATATAAGACTTCTATCGCCGTCTAAAAAAATGTGCTTGTAGTGTAGTGGATCAGGGTCTTGTTTCCGAAACGAGCTGTCAAGTTTTGCCCGGGTTCAATCCCTTTCTTTTCATTTTATTTTGATGTTTAACCGCTTGAATTCGCTCTATTTTAGCTTTACAAAAAGTATTACCGTAAATACTGTAATTGTACCCCACCGCCCATAATGACGGTGCGGAGTGTTGCGTAGTCTAGCTTTGAACGCGTTTTTCTCGACACTGGTTTATGCTAGAAGGCGCGCTTAGGTATCGCTAAAAATAGCTGAAATTCAGGGCTATTTTTTGATACCAAAGACGCATTTTTTGAAAGGACGGGCGCTTTGAAAAAAGGAAATACTAAAAAACTTTAGCGACTACGCGACTGTACGAGGGGTACGAGAGGGCACTATTACAGTATTTACGGTATGAAATCTTATCAATCTTTTAATTGATAACAAAGAAAATGACAAAAAAAATGAAGCATCTATAAAATGACTGAATGAAATGAAAGATCTCATAATATTTATTGTAATAAAGTATCTTTTTGTCCTCACCTCAACATCCCCATCAATCCTCACTTTGTCCAATTGTTGACTCACATTTCCACGGTGCTCAAACTCGAGATAGAACTGAGCGTTGAAATAAATCGCCAAATGTTTCTCTTTCTTCAAAATGCTCAAATCGAAGCTGAAAGGAAAAAAAAATGTTGATATTTAAAACTATTCTATTAGATATTAGCTTTTAAAATGATCCATATCACTAACATTTTCCAATCATCGATCGGCATTTCTTCTCTAATATGATGTTGCCATTCACCGTCTTTAAACGTGTTCAACACCACGCGATCCTCAACAAAACGTATGGATACCTGCAAAAATTTGTAAACATTAAGCTATTTAAATATTAAGCTATTTAAATATTAAACTATTTAAATATTAAACTATTTAAATATTAAGACACCTGTTTTTGTATGCATTTAATCGAAAACTCAATGCCGCACAGGCTCATCGAGAGATTACTGACGTTTATGGTTTTGTTGTAAGAAATTTCCTTCACGAAATCGTTGAAACCAATTCTGGATAGTTCGTTCGGTCACGAAATCGGGTCCATAAACGTCAGTAATCTCTCGATGAGCCTGTGCGGCATTGAGTTTTTCGGTTAAATGCATACAAAAACAGGTGTCGCTGGTGCTCCTCCGATTCAACTTGACACGACATTCCTGAAAAAAGCCTTCTAACAACATGAAAACAATGATAAAACAAAAAAAAAAAAGGGGGAAAAACGAAGGAAAATCGCGAAAAGCGGCGGAAAGGCTATTGATCTGAGGGTCGCTGGTTCGACTTCCACCGGTGACAATATTTTTCAAAAACTTTTTGCTAAGATTCTGAAAATTTGTGTCTAGGGGTTATTTTTGACGCTGATCACGAAAAACATGTTTTTGGCCTAGGTTTCTGCACGGAAAACTAACGAAACGTGAAAACAGCCATTTTTTTGGCTCTGCCGCCCTTTACTAAAATAGCTGTAAAAACTTTTAGAAAAGAGATATCTCAAAACGGTTTTTACCAATCGATCCGTCTTGAATTCAGCTTTAGGATGAGCTATAAAACGTCAAAATTGGACAAATTTAAGGTACTCTCCCAAAAAATCGATCGGAAAGGACTTTTCCATCAACCCAATATTTAAACATTAAGCTATTCACTTAAACTTTACCGTAAATGTCATCACATCGTGCTCGTTAAAGAAAAGAATATCGATTCGTTTACCTAAATGAATAATAATTAGATCGAAGTTTTAGAGACTTTTAGACACTTTTAGAAATCGACTTAAATATCACTTTTCAAAGACTCACTCCTTGGCAAAACCTTTTGTTTTGTGTACCTCGAATGGCACGAGTAACACCCAATCGATGAACGATAATAGATACGACCGGCGAAGATGTAACTAAAAAGAGGAAACAAAACATTATCGATAGGGTCTCTTTTTCCAGAATTACAGTCACTAAAGAAGTTGAGGTTTTAAAGACATTAAAATGACATCAAAACAGCAAAAATTGATTTTAATAAAAGAATTTAATATAAAAATTACTTTCTTTCAAAAAGATCTTCGTTTGGTGGCAGCACAGGCTTGGAGGCGTTTTGGGAAGGTGTCCACGGTGGCGAGAAGGTAAAGCGTGTTCAGCTCGTCCCAAGCTTTGGCAGCACAGGCTTGGAGGCGTTTTGGGAAGGTGTCCACGGTGGCGAGAAGGTTAAGCGTGTTCAGCTCGTCCCAAGCTTTGGCAGCACAGGCTTGGAGGCGTTTTGGGGAGGTGTCCACGGTGGCGAGAAGGTAAAGCGTGTTCAGCTCGTCCCAAGCTTTCTGAAGGCCTTCCTTCAAAGAATCGACTGTTGGATGAGGCTTCGAGCATGCTTTTGCTTCCAATACACTTACAAAATCGAGAGGGTTGAGGTCTGGGCTTGATGATGGCCACTGGTTAAATTCGATAAAAACCGGGAAATTCTGCTTGCACGAATCTTGAACGATGCTAGCTTTGTGTACGGGTGCCCCATCCTGTTGAAAGCACCAAATCATGTTTCCAAAATACTTTTTAGCTCATGGATGTGCTTCTTGCTTAAGCATGTCCAAATAATTGGTCGCATTTACTTTGATTCTTTGTGGAACAAAAAACAGAGGAGTCTTTCCATCAGCGATGATACCAGCCCAGGCCATCAATGATTTGGGATAACTTGCTCGCGCCACAGATTGTTTAGGTTGAATCTTAGCATATGTTCGATTTTTTTTTTGATGATTCAATTCAAAAACTGTTCGATAGAGAAAACTTTTTCATCGATGAAGAGAATGTTTTGATGATCGATACCATTGAAGCGAAGCAAAAGTTGGTTCGAACGATCCTCGCTTTTCTTTTTGCTGGCTAATGTAAGAAATTGGCTTTTGGAAAACTTATAAGCTTTCATTTCAAGACGATTTTTGAAAATACGGCTCATAGAAGTTCGAGAAATTCCCAAATTCTTTGCCATCGTGGCCTGCGAACGAGTGACTTTCAAGCGATGATTTCAAGCGTAGCTGATCTCGAACCTTCTTGATATTAGCCTTGGTGACAACGGTCGCTTTACGACCACGTCCGGGACGATCAGAGTTTGTTCCAAACTCTTGAAAGCGTTTAATCGCGTTGTAAACAAGTCGAAACAGTTGTTTGCGTCTCATCAATCGCTTAGAGATCTCCATGGACGATGGAGATCAAAACGCGACGCTTGTGTACAAGAATAAAGGTGCCCATATTGAATAATTTGTTATTTTTTAAACGACTATGATTAGTGTTGTTAATTTTAAATAAAGTTAACATGAATCCGTTCATATTTCATTACGATACACGGTTCTGAGTCCGTAACCATACTTATGCCGCACCCTGTGGGTTAATGATCGCATCTCGTTATACGCACTTTTTGGCTATTCTAAAAAAAGACATTTTTTGAGAAAAAAAACAGTAATTAAATAGTTAAATACATAAAATAAACCAAAAGAAAGACAAAAATAATATATAAATTGTAAGGAAAAATATTAAAAATATTAAATATTAAAGATATCCCTAGTTCCCGTAATTCTGGACAACTCTGTATAGATGAGAATAGGCTTAATTTTGACATAAAGTTTAGCTAAGGCTTAAAATTAGCATTTAAAGCTTATAACTGTTTTCTACCTGTAACTGGATGGCCCGTAATAGTGTGTACTTGTGCCGTACCATCTTCTGTTTTGACTATAGAAACTACCTGAAAAGATGAGGATCTACTCGACAAAAGATTATCGACTCGCGAATTTTCCTCGATCTTTAAAGAGCTATAACTCCGAGTCTTTCCATTGTAGACTAGAAGTGTTATAATGATTCTGAAAGCTTAAAACGAGCTCTATAAGATGGTGTATTTACTTTTTAATTTTTCACGCTTTTTAGAGCACAGCATCAACAAGAAAAAGAGCGCTGAAAATGTTGTTTTTTCCAAACCCTATCTTGCGCACCCGGAAATGTATCAAAAATTAAAATAATTTTAAAAAGCGAATACACCATCTTATAGAGCTTATTTTAAGCTTTCAGAATCACTATAATACTTCTAGTTTAGGATGGAAAAGCTTAGAGTTATAGCTCTTTAAAGATGGAGAAAAATTAGCGAGATGATACTCTTTTGTCGAGTACTTTTGTATCCGATTTCGATTTAAACATAATTGCACGATCAAATCAAATCAAAATATGAATGATATAAATACCGTATCTATTCTAATTGAAGCGCAGCCTCTAATAGAAGTAAAACATTTTTTTAAATGTAAGCTATTTGATCAATTTTGGAGCGTGATTGAAAGCTATTAGGGTGGTTAAAAATGCTTATAAAAGAAACTGCCGATGGGTATAGAAGTTGATCGATATTTACTTTAAAACTGTCAAAACTCTATCCGAATAAGATAGAGTTTTGACAGAACAGAGATCATTTTACAGACGACTTTAAGAAAAATTTAGTTGTTGAAGCTAATTCCAGTTTACTGTCCCAGTCTGAACCAGATCAGTACCCTAATCTGGTTCAGACTAGCTCAGGAATCTTATTTATTAGGGTGGTGCAAAAGAAACCGCCGATGGGTATCAGCTCTCATTTATTAGAAACGAGCGATGCTAACGGCATTATTTTTTTTATGTTTTGTTCGCATATTTGTTTGCTATTTATTTCGACATTTCAATTTTTTGGTTGTTCTTTATTTTATTTTAAAATGCTTATATTTTTTTATTTAGATCATGGTTGAGCAAAAGTTTGTGCTACGAGCAGCATTACTGTTTAACTTCAAAATTGGAAAGTCTGTTGCCGAATCACATCGTTCTCTCTGTGCTGCTTCCGGAGATGGCAGTGTCAGACTTGGTTTCAACGATTCTGAGAAGGAGACGAGACTTTGGAAGATTACGAGCACGATTCGAGGCCAGAAGTCGTGAACGAAGCCAAGCGGAGGGACGTTATTCAGGCCGTTATTCAGGCCGTTATTCAGGCCGTTATTCAGGCCGTTATTCAGTCCGTTATTCAGTCCGTTATTCAGGCCGTTATTCAGGCCGATCCATGCCAATCTGCTCGAGATCTTGCGAAAATATTCCATTGTGATCATGTCACCATCGAACGCCATCTTTTTTTTGAATTTACCGTCAAATCGGCAGTTTCTTTTGCATCACCCTAATAGAAGCACAGTCTCTAATTGAAGCAATTTTAGGAGGAGGGATTGAAAAATAAAAGCACATTTGCTTTTATTAGAATAAATACGGTAGTTTGATAATATATTTGAACAATTTGTGTAATTGGATAGTTATGTAATTGTTGAAAAGTTACTCACTGCTTCCCGACGATCCTCCACTGCTTTTGAAACGAGAGCCGAGACGAGATGAAGAAGAGCCACGAGAGAAGCCTCAATTCAATCTTTAGATAACTTTAAGCAAAGCTTGACTACTGTTCTTTTTATAGTATTAGCATTTCCCTTAATCTTTATAGTATTCAATAGTTTTTAAACGAACTTCTCGCCGAGCTGCTTCCCCGCGAACTGCTGGAACTTCCTGACGAGCCCCGTGAAGACGATCTAGCCGCTGAAGAACCCCTAAAATAAACTATAATCAAAGTGGCTTACTGTAGTCTTAGTTTTTATGTAAATTTTAGAAGAATTGGGTTTAATTTTTGATTATCTGATCTTTCAAACCTTGAGCCGCCTCGTCCACCGCCGCCACCACCTCCTCGACCACCGCCACTTCTTCGCTTCACTCGCACGAATTCTAGAGTTGGTTTCATTGGTTGGTTTGGTTATGGTTTGGTTTCATTGATTTGATTTCATTTTATTTACCATTTTTGACTAAATCAAATAAATCTTTCAATAAAAATCAACTTTGAAACTTTTTGATCAAATACCTGGCTCAAAATCGTCTTCAACGTCGAGATTCACGGGCTGCTTTGCTGCATCAACTGATCGTTTCACCGGCACTTGTCCCTTTTCGAGCAACTCGCTTACTTGTGTTGGGTTTAAGGCTAAAAATATTGATAAATAGATATTTCCCCCTTACTATTCTTAATATTCTTTCAATTACTCACCGCTCAGCTCTTGCGCATTGCCATTTGTCCCATTCATCGCCAAAAGCATCGGCTTGTCCTCGTCGAAAATCTCGGCGATTTGCGAAGTGTTTGCCACTAGAACGGTATGGTTTTAAATATTTTTTGAATTTTTAATTCATCAAAATTCTGAGGGATATAGTTTTAAGCATTTTTGGCTTTTGATTTGTTAATTTTCTTTGTTATTTAGATAATTAGATAATTTAGATCTTTAGTTAATTTAAAATTTGTTAATTTTAGGCTAGATCGGCGAGATTAAGTTAAATTCAATCAAATTCATTTCAAAATCAATACTAATTTTTTATTTTAGACTATAAGAACTGCAACTGCACAAATGGATTTGTGAATGGATGGTGTGCCTGTCGAAATGCCAACGTTTTCTGCAATAGTCAATGACACGATAGCAATTCCTGCTTGAACAACTGCACTGCAACTGCACAAATGGATTTGTGAATGGATGGTGTGCCTGTCGAAATGCCAACGTTTTCTGCAATAGTCAATGACACGATAGCAATTCCTGCTTGAACAACTGCACTGCAACTGCACAAATGGATTTGTGAATGGATGGTGTGCCTGTCGAAATGCCAACGTTTTCTGCAATAGTCAATGACACGATAACAATTCCTGCTTGAACAAGGGTTAGTTTTGTAAATCTTTGTTAATCTTTTGATTGTTAATTTTGTTTGTCGCTATTTTAGGCTAGGTCGGCGAGATTAAGTTAAATTCATTTCAAAATCAATACTAATTTTTTATTTTAGACTATAAGAACTGCAACTGCACAAATGGATTTGTGAATGGATGGTGTGCCTGTCGAAATGCCAACGTTTTCTGCAATAGTCGATGACACGATAGCAATTTCTGCTTGAACAAGGGTTAATTTTGTAAATCTTTGTTAAGCTTTTGATTAACATCCTTTGATTGTTAATTTTGTTTATCGTTATTGTTTAACTCTAGGATTGTTATTTGTTATTATGTTTTTGTTTACGTTCAATGAACGTAGCTAAAACGTCAGGAATTACCTTAACAAACCACAGCGCTAAACAATTCAATATCAACATAATAATTTGTATTTAAGTTGTCGTTTTTAATCTTCATTTGAAGACAAATTTCTAGAAAAGCTACATGTCGAAATGCCAACATTTTCTGCAATAGTCGATGACACGATAGCAATTCCTGTTTGAACAAGGGTTAGTTTTGTAAATCTTTGTTAAGCTTTTGATTTGTTAATTTTGTTTGTCGCTATTTTAGGCTAGGTCGGCAAGATTAAGTTAAATTCATTTCAAAATCAATACTAATTTTTAAATTTAGGCTATAAGCACTGCAACTGCACAAATGGATTTGTGAATGGAAGGTGTGCCTGTCGAAATGCCAACATTTTCTGCAATAGTCGATGACACGATAGCAATTCCTGTTTGAACAAGGGTTAGTTTTGTAAATCTTTGTTAAGCTTTTGATTTGTTAATTTTGTTTGTCGCTATTTTAGGCTAGGTCGGCAAGATTAAGTTAAATTCATTCCAAAATCAATACTAATTTTTTATTTTAGGCTATATGCACTGCAACTGCACAAATGGATTTGTGAATGGAAGGAGTGCCTGTCGAAATGCCAACGTTTTCTGCAATAGTTAATGACACGATAGCAATTGCAATAGTCGATGACACGATAGCAATTCCTGTTTGAACAAGGGTTAGTTTTGTAAATCTTTGTTAATCTTTTGACTGTTGATTTTGTTTGTCGCTATTTTAGGCTAGATCAGCGAGATTAAGTTAAATTCATTTCAAAATCAATACTAATTTTTAAATTTAGGCTATAAGCACTGCAACTGCACAAATGGATTTGTGAATGGAAGGTGTGCCTGTCGAAATGCCAACATTTTCTGCAATAGTCGATGACACGATAGCAATTTCTGCTTGAACAAGGGTTAATTTTGTAAATCAAGCCACATCTTCTGAGCTAACAAAAAAGTGAAAAAACATATCGTAAACTCACTTCTCATGATTGGTTGAGCCGAAATGTCCAAGCGTTGCCCGAAATTGAGACGAATGTTCCCGTTGAATGGATTCTCGTACTTTCGGCCTTCAATCCTAGAAAACTTCAGTGTAAATTATGCAATCTAAAGATCTAAAGTAATCTACAGTAGCTTTTCCCTTAATCGTAATCGAAATTTCAACCAAAATTTACCTAAACAGTCGAAGACTTTGGATTCCGTTCGATGTTGTTGACAATGTGGCTTCAGTGGCCTAAAATCGAACTAAGCCAAAATCGAACAAAGCTAAAATCGAACTAAGAAAGAACTAAGAATGAAAATATTCAGAAAAATGTCAAACTAATAGATTAATAGTCAAGCTCAAAAATTAGTTAAAGATAATCATTTTTAAATTGTGAATAATTTCAAGAGCCTCCTCACATTCAACAAAGCGTCGCTGGCTGTGAAGATGCCGATCTCACCGTGGTTTGCGAAAATCTAAAAAAACTTTTCATAAACTGCACAAGTTTAGATCTTTAGATCTTCAGAAGATTAGAAATCTTCTAGTATTTTAAATTTCAATCATTTTTATTTCAATCATTTTTATTTCAATTATAATCATGCCGACAAATATTCTTTTACCCTAAAGTCTCGAGTATAAGTTCATCCGAGTATAAGTTCTGCCTTAATTTACATTCGCTTTAATTGCTTTGAATTTCTTTTTGTTGGGTTTTTATACATTTTTATTGTTATATAAACTTTTATATTATTTTTCTTGGAGCCCGGGATACTACAGGGTGACAGCCTATCACCATTGCTATTTGTTATGTGCATGGATACATCCAGACGATAGTGTTGAAGAAGACGCTGGAAAGCATCTCTTTCGACCGTCGACGTGGACTTTGGCCGGATGAAGAGGCCAGGGAGGGATCCATAAGACTGAGCACCGGAGAGGAGCAGGGCGGACGCGCCGAGCCACGCCCGGAGCAACAAAGCAACAACAAATAACAGCATAAAATTGCTATAACCCTCAATAAATTTACTTCTATTATTGTTCTTAAAAAGCAAAAAAGTTATGCTGCAGCGGGGTTCGAACCCTCGACACACCGCACCGGAGACAGCCGTCAATTTGCATGCGAAAACCAAATAGAACTTATACTCGCGACTTTAGGGTACCCAAAATCCTCACCTGAACAAGTCCATCCAAAAATCGGATCCGCAAGTCGAAAACTTCGTTTTTCTAAAAAAAACCATGATATTTTTTAAAAATTTAATGTACTTTTCTGAATTCTATAGGATTTTTAAATCTTTCCTACAGTTTTTATCTCTTTTTTTTTCTTTGCAAACCTCAAACGGATTCACTGAAATCTCGTTGATCAATGTGCCGTTTTTCCTCAACGCTTGATAAGTGGTCGTCGAGTTTTCACCTTAAAAAACAAAAGTTATAAACTTTTTAATAGAAAAATTCGAGATATTTTAAATATTTAGGTATTATTATACTACGACGAGTTTTTCTGACGGAATTTTTTAAGAGAGTTTTGTCGCCGTGGCTCGAGCTCGAGAGCTCGAGAGCGCGCTTGTCTACGGCCCACATGACTCGGGTTCGATCCCCCCGTAGTGTCACTTAATTTTGACTTTTTAGACTTTTTTTATTTTAAATAGCACAACTAAAATATATTCAAAGGTTTTCTAAAGAAGTTTCAGCTTTATTGGTCAAAACACGGCTATGCCCGTACAGGCAGACAGACACTGCTCTTTTGGTTGTCAACTAAATAAACGGACTTTTTAGAAAAAGTCGATTTCAAAAATGATGGCTGAGCCGAATGAGATTTTCAACAATCATTTTGCAGAGGAAATCTAGATATTTTCAATGGTGCAAATGATACTGCTTTGCTCTGCATTTGCTGAGCATTTTGCTGAGCATTTCAACATTTGTAAAACCAATTTTTAGTTTCAAAAGTCGAGTTATTTCGTTGATAACGATTTGGTTAAGGAAAAAGTTCTGACTCAGCTGCGAAAAGTTCAATTTGTTTGGTTTTTCTGCTGGTTTTTCGCGCTTATAGTGTTGTACCAATGTTAATCTTTGTATTCTAGATGTGTTTCCAAGAAAAAGAGTTTCGAGTTTTCATCGGCTATTGTTGGAAACGGAAACTTTCAACAAGAGATGCCGTGGAAGAGATTTGCGATGGATTTGCTGTAGGTGAAGGAGCTGCAAGTCAATGAAAAAGTTTCAAGATGGTACAGGTGCTTTGATTCCGGTGACACGAGCCTTGAAGACTTACCGCGTTTCGGTCGACCGCTAAAGTTAGATGATGGTGACTTGCATTTCCTGAAAGGTCGCCGATTCGAGTCATTTGAAGAAGTTGAAGAAGCTTGCCAAGAGTTCTTTGATTCGAAACCGAAGGAGTGATGTACTTCGACCAGATCCGAAAGCTTGCAGATCGATTGCAGAAAGTCGTAGATAATCATGGGTGTAAGGGTGAAGATTGAGCTCATTTTTGGCCATAAGTCGAACTGATTCACGAGCGATCCCCGTCTGTCGAGCGATCTTTCTCATTGAGGCCTGTGGATTTCGGACCACGCGCTTCTGAATCACTTTGCGATTTCTGGAGCTATTGACTGTTCTTTTTCTGCCTCTTCCTGGACGATCTCCATCGTTGCCAAGCTCCTTGTATCGCTTAATCGCTTTTGAGACGAGCTGATGAAAAACACGTAGCAACCGCGCGGTTGCACTCACCTTGACGCTGAAGCTCCAGAATGGTAGATCCCTTGTTTGTCATCCTACAAGAAATTGAATAGACCTTGACGATGAAGCTCCAGAATGGCAGATCCCTTGTTTGTCCTCCTATAAAAAAATGAACAGACTTGAAACAAAGTAAAACAACAAAGAAACTAAAAAAAAAACAATCACAGAGAGTAGGTTAAAAATAAATTTGTCTCCCAAAATTGAAACTTTGAGGATTTTAGGTTGCCGAAAATCCCGCAACGTTATTTCTGGTCACCCTGTAATAATAACTGTTTTGAAAGCGCGCATGAAAATTTGAATTTTTCGCAGCTGAGTCAGGATTTTTTCCTCAGTAATAAATAGATTGAATTCGTCAAAATTCTACCCGTTCCATTGCTGAAAAGTGCGCAAATCTTCAGCCTCACATCAACATCCTGGGTGAGCGAGAAGCAGAAACTGAAATGAAATTTTGTTATGGCTTTAAATTTGTTTTTGTATTCACTGTTTGCATCGAATTTTTGGATAAATTTTCGATGTATATGTCGTAGCCGTTTACGAAATTCATCCGCTAACGAATGAGGGCATTTCTGGGCATCCAATCAAAAAGTCGCCCACATAAAAAATGTTCATAATACATATATTTTATAATAAATTTTTGAAATTAGCTCATTTGGTTCAGTAGAAAAATTTTTTTGAGCCCCCAAAGTTTAGGTTCAAAAATGGCTATAAAAAATTTTCTACTCAGCCAAAAAACTTGCCTAATAGCTCATTTTGTAGCCAATTTGATGTAGTTTCTTAAAGTAAAGCTACATTGAACATTTGTTTTTCAAAGCTAGGAGAAAGAGGGCGAGGAACGACTTCAGTTGAACTCGGTCGCTGTTTTCACATTTGAGAATTGCCCTGAATTTGTTCCTCGCCCTCTTTCTCCTACTTTCAACGAAAAATTGTTTTAGATGGCTTTACTTTAAGAAACTACATCAAATTGGCTACAAAATGAGCTATTAGGCAAGTTTTTTGGCTGAGTAGAAAATTTTTTATAGCCATTTTTGAACCTAAACTTTGGGGGCTCAAAAAAATTTTTCTACTGAACCAAATGAGCTAATTTCAAAAATTTATTATAAAATATATGTATTATGAACATTTTTATGTGGGTGACTTTTTGATTGGATACCCGGAAATACCTCTCATTCGTTAGCGGCTGAATTTCGTAAACGGCTACGACATATAAACCTAGAGCTTCTCACTCACTCGGTTGCGCTTTTGCTAACATTTCCGTAAATGTGATAGTATTGACCGATTTGCAATGGATCACCCAAAGGGATCTTCAATGGAAAGAGGCTCGATGGGACGGTCTGAAATAAATAAAATAATTGAGCTCAATAAAGGAAAATGTTTTGAATTTGTGAAATTAGTATCATTTTTAGCTCTAACTTGCCTGGAAAATCGACTATTTAAATATTACGCCCATTTTTCCCGCTAAAGTTCTAGTTTTCAACAAAAAATATCTAGAAATGATCTCCTAAACCCACCAAATTCTGCTCGCCAAAAAACGGCAAATCTTCGTTGTTTTTGTTGTTGAATAAACCGCCAAATATCGCGGTTAGCACCACTAAAATAAAGTTAGTTGGGCTCTTTCAATGAATTGTGGTCTTCTGAAAGTATCGTGGTCTTTTAAAAGTATCCTGGTCTTCTGAAAGTATCGTGGTCTTTTAAAAAGAAAGCCTCTGTGTCGTGGCCACTTCAGGGAGCCGACATTTGGTGACATCACACAGAATTCCTCGTGGTCTCAACAGGATATCGTCAAGTTGACAAGGATGTCTGTCTTGGCTGTATGTGAAGGCCAGCTTTACATGTATTTGCGTGTCTATGGAAACGCAAGGTGTGCCAAGCCTTGCGTTTTGTTGGGATGCTAAAATTGTTGTTCTTACGATTGTTCTTTAAATTCTGATTCAATGTGCACGTGGAACTTAATAAAATGCGTTAAAAGACTTTTTGGTAAAAAAAGAAACAAAACAAGAAATTGCAAAAGACCACGAAACTTTTAAAAGACCATGAAACTTTTAAAAGACCACGGTACTTTTAAAAGACCACGGTTCTTTTAAAAGACCACGGTTCTTTTAAAAGACCACGATTCAGGAAAAGAGTCGTTAGTTGTTAAGTAAAGTTAGTTAGTTAAGTGCACCAGAACACTGACTGAAAGCGACAATCCAGCAGCATCCCTGTCGTCGACCTTGATCAAAAGCGCCACATCGATAGCGAAGGCGGCTAAAGTTTGACTCGTTTAGAGGATTCCTGGGGAAACTCTTGGTGCCCATTCAGTGTAATTCTCAAGCAATAAAGCTTCGTGATCTTTACAGCATTTATCGTTTTATCAACTCCATTGTACACAGATCGCAAAGGTTCTTTTTAAGAAAAGGAAGCTCAGAATTTACTCAGGAAGCCCTGAGTAAAATTAAAGAAAAATCGACTTTACAAGAAACTTGTAAAGTCGATTTTTCTTTAATAAAATTGCTATTTTTCAGATTTTTAAGATTTCTAATTTAATTTAATAAGATTTTGTATTAAAATTTATTAAAATTAAAATAGAACAACAATTAACCTGAAACATCCCTCTTTTTCCTCTCGAACATCATCAACCGGTGGCTCGGTTCTTTTCACCGCCGTGTAGTCCATGTTTTTTTCAACAAAATTGGCTTTTCTTCTTTATTAGATAATAAGAATTCTTAGATTAAACAGATTTTCGAAAAAATATTAGAACATCTTTGTGAGATAAACTAAAAAAAAATCTCGATTTTCAATGCTCATCCAAAAAAAAGCGCTGAGCGATGAGCGAAAAAAAGCACTTACTCAAATGAATCAAAAAAAAGCACTTTCTTATTGTTAAGCCGAAATCTTTGGGTTTAAATTCGCAAATTTGCACATTTCCCGTCAATTTTACTTGCAACAAAATGAAAATTGATTGAAAAGAGCAAAAATTCTGACGTGAAAAGTCAATTCTATTGGATTTCTTTTTTTCTTTCATCAATTATTGAATAAAATTCGATTATTTATTGTTTAAAAAGAAGAAAAATATTGGAACAGTAATGGAGCCATCTTGGAACCATATTGGAACCAGATTGGAACCATATTGGAACCATTTTACATCCAACATGAGTAAAAATATTCAATAAAATGCCTTCAAGAATATGTGCAAAATCGGGAAATTCAATTGAACAATTTTCACTTACAAAATATTAGTAGTATTAGCGAAGCAAAATATTTGAGTAGTATTAGGAAGGGTTTGGAATAAGGTCCCCGTCTGGTATCTTCTCGTCTGTAGGAAAATTCAAAGTATCTTTAGAGTAACGGATTAGATCTTATGTCAAATCGTATGCCATTGCAAATCTGCCCTATATTTAACCTTTTTGTACCTGTGTTTCCTAACTGCAGTCTTACTGGACTGGACTTACTGGACTGGACTTACTGGACTGGACTTACTGGACTGGACTTACTGGACTGGACTTACTGGACTGGACTTACTGGACTGGACTTACTGGACTATTTTCATTCTTACTGGACTTAGGCAACTCGGGTGGGATGTAATTGTTGAATAGGGTGGCGGCGATTGTTAAAGAGGTCCGGGTAGCGCCCCCCATGGTACAAGAATCGTCCCCTCACCGTCAAATTTCAATGGGTGAAGAACAAGTGAAGAGTAAGAACGATAAGAGAAACACAATTGTTAGAAAAGCTATAATGAGATAACAACTCTAATAAAACTACAAAATATGCTTTTGATAGCAAAAAGAACAGCTTGCTATCAGAATTTGAAATCGAGAAAACGTTCAAAAACGTTAAAAAACGTCAAAAAGATAACCATAAAACATAAGCAAACTATAATCAAGCAGAAAGCTCAAAAAATTTCTTTTAATAGCAACAAGAAAAGCCGTGGATAAAAGCCTGATTCCTTTCCTTTTCTCCCTTGAGTCCACATATCGATTTGCGCCATTTTTCCCCTTTCCCCTTTTCCCCTTGTTTTTTTCTTCTTTTCTTTCATTTTTCGCTCTTTTTCCTGATGCTATTCTTTACCTTTTTCTCTATTTTGACCTCGTAAACACAGAACAACCTTCATTCAAATCATTAAGTCTTTTTTGAAAGTTCAATTAACTTTTTTTGAGTTTCTTATCTTTTGAACACTGAGATTTCCGATTCCCCCTCCACGCCATTTCGTCGAAAATTTTATTTGACTGTTAGCGTTTGATTTGACTTTCCAATACAAGTTGCTCAATGGTTTGGTTGAGCTGTTAATAAGTTACAATTAGGTTTAGGCGAACAATGAGGCGAACAATGAACGAATAACTGCTTGAAAGGCACAAACAATGGTCACAGAAAGCATTTCAACAGGGATCATCCAGATCTGTGAACATTCATTAAAGGACTTGGAGGATTTCAACAGAAGATTGACAACAAGATGGCATCAAGTCAAGATATCTTGCCTTGTCAAGGAGAAACTTTAATATTTATAATTTCTATCAAATTTACTGTGAGAAATAATAAATTCAAATAGCCGTTTTCTTTTTTTAAAAAGAAAACTTCATTATAGTCAAGAAGAAAGTGGAAAAAAACTCTTATAGAACTTTTAAAACTAATTTCCGCAGCCAATTATTGAATTCTCAATCATTTACTGAAAGAATTTGATCAAAAGAAAGAGAATAATCAACTTTTAAGCGCACTTTATGCCTACAAAATTTACAAAAGAACTCAATTAAAAAGTTTACACGAGAAATAATTGATCTAGCGTAAAATACTAACAAAACTATAAAATCCATAAAATCCATAAAATAACAAACGCAAATTTCTAGAAATGGAGAAACTGAATTGTACAATTGCATTATCAAATCTCAAAATCGATCTCGTTTCTATGTGATGGTAGTGGCAGTCGTTAAAGGTGGCGGTCGAAGTGACGACAATGGCATCACCACATCGATCGCTCGACCACGCCGGTGATCACGCAGAAAGATCACCACGTTCAGGCTGAAATTCAATAAATATTGTACATTTTAGACCCTATAAAAACCAAGCTTTAAAGCTACTATAATCCGTTTCCTTTTTTCGGCTACCGTAATCTTGTCTCTATTTTTTGAGCCAATTGTTTTGCCCGGAAAGTCTTGCTCACATTTTTGAAATTTTCATTTCAAATGACTAATTAGCCGATAAACGTGTGATTTGCTTTAAATAAAAAAGATTAATTATAATTTTTACCTACCGTAAATACTAGTACCCCACCCCCCTTGTACAGTCGCGTAGTCGCAAAAGTTTTTTAGTATTTCACTTTTTTGCAAAGCACCCGTACTTTCAAAAAATGCGTCTTTGGTATCAAAAAATAGCCCTGAATTTCAGCTATTTTTTGATACCTAAGCGCGCATTGTAGCATAAACCAGTGTCGAGAAACACTCGTTCAAAGCTAGACTACGCAACACTCCGCACCGTCATTATGGGGTTGGGGTACTATTACAGTATTTACGGTAATTCTTGGGTAAAATTCAGCTTTTGAAGCAAATCCGAACGGGAATTCTTGATGAAAAATTGAAGATCCTATGCAGCCAACTACCAGTCTAATCGACAACCTGAGAAGTTACCGCTCGCCCGGTAAGCGAAAGGTCGCGGGTTCGATTCCCGGTGCCGGTCATGTTTTGCATTCTTAGCCCCAACCCATAAAAGGACCGGCGTCTCCAAACTATCTAGATTACTGTAGACTCACCCAAAAACACTGTACAATGCTAAATTGATGAAAGTGACGAGGAAAAAAAGCCAGAAACTGCTGAGAAACCAGCTGAATGTGGTGATGAAGCCGGCAGCGACACCCAACGCGTTAGCCGAGTGGTTGATCACCATCTGAGGATAAGGCATTAAGAATTTAAGCCGTAAGCGGATAAGCCCAGGCTTCGCCCCTTTTTTTTCCGTTTGTTGTTGGCAATCTACGAATTTTGCTCGTATCTTAGCGGGTTTTTTGAGAAAACGTTGAATTTCCTTTCATTCGATTTGAAATCAAATTTTCTATCGAATGAATGGAAATTCAACGCTTACTCAAACAAAGCTGGCTAAACTACGAGCTGGCTAAACTATGAGCTGGCTAAACTACTGGCTGGCTAAACTACGAGCTGGCTAAACTACGAGCTGGCTAAACTATGAGCTGGCTAAACTACGAGCTGGCTAAACTACGAGCAAGTAGATTGCCAGCGGCAAACGGACGGAAAAAGGGGCAGGGTTTAACACTGGACTGGGGACACCAGAAGAGCTCAAAGTACACCTCCACTCACCATTATCGCCAACTTAATCTCGGTGTAGTGATTCGATCGGTACTTGAATTTCTGAACATTTAAACATTTTATCATTTAGTTTTACCGGTACTGTAGCTTTTTACCGGTACTGTAGCCAAGTAATATCACGTGTTTTTTGGTTCCTTTTCGTTGGTATCCGCTGTAAAAAAATCACCAAAAACACTCACCATTTGCCGACTCACTTTCGCCAACACAAAAGCATCCAAAAAAATCATCACCAACCAAATAAAAACCAAATAATAAAAGGAAATAATCAAGAAATACCAATACAAAACATCGGAAAGGTTTAAATCTTTTGCCAGCGTGTAAATGGCGAATGAGAAAAGATACGTGTCAAATGTGGCGATCACCCAGTAATCTGAAAGTGTGTGCTGCTTGTATTGTGACGATCAGCCTACCTAGCTAAGGTACTGTTTTCTAAAAGATGTTATTACAATCTTATGCATCTTTTGCCAAAAACCAAAAGAATTGGCGGCAAGAGGAGTCGAACCCGCGACCTCTCCATTTCATTCGTTTGAAAGACGAGTTAACCACTCGACTGCTGGGATGGTGCAGGCAAGCGCAGTTGCCTCTAGCCCACACGATCCGGGTTCGACTCCCGCCCACGTCAAGTTTTTTAGTTTTTTAGAAATTTGAAAGCATGTTGCATAACTATATAGAATTCCAAGCCAAATTAATCATAATTCATTTGAAGCGGGTGCAGAGGAGTGCAGAGGAGTAGTGCGTAAAGACAGACAAACAGACAGACAAATAGACAGGCAGACAAACAAACAGACAGACAGACAGACAGACAGACAGACAAACAGACAGACAAACAGACAGACAGACAGACAGACAGACAAACAGACAGACAAACAGACAGACAGACAGACAGACACAGCTCTTTTATTGTACTTTATAGTATCAATAGATTATTATGTCGATTATTTTATCAAGATATATAGTAGATTACGGTATTCTGGTTACTTTCGTCTTTAGTAAACTCACAATTGAAAACGGGTGCATAGAGGAGAGCCGCGCCAACGAAAAGCACAATCATTTTCACTTTTTGACTCACATAGTGATTTCGTCGATAATAAACACCGTCAAAGATCACAGCGAGCACTCTAAATGATCGCGATTTGTTTCGTCGTTGATTTACCGTCGATTCTTGACCCAAAGCCTCTGGCCAATAAGCAAGTTGATAAGGCGAATTTCGATCTTTTCCCATCATTTTCCCTACCGATTACTCGTCGTCATCAACTGGGCCGTGCAAACGATGAGAAATTGGCAATAGTAAAGATAGGAAACGATCCGATCGACTAATGGGACATAGTAGCGGAGATCCCTGGAAATATCGACAAATTTTCTTCACTA